GTATTTTAGTTCACTAGGGCAGCTGTAACAAAGTACCACAGATTGGGTGGCTTAAACAACAGAAATTTATTTCTCACAGTTCTGGAGGCCAGAAGTCCAAGATAATGGTATCAGCAGGTTTGGTTTCTTCTGAGACCTGTCTCTTTGTCTTGCAGATGGACACCTTCTCACTGTGTCATCACATGTCTTCCCTCCTCTAAGCATGCACATCCCTGGTGTCTATTCTGTGGGTTCTAATGTCCTCTTCTTACAAGGACACTAGTCAGATTGCATAGGGCCCACTATAATAGCCTCATTTTAAACTAATTACCTCATTAAAAAGCCCTATCTCCAAATACAGTCACATTCTGAGGTACAGAGGGTTAGGGCTTCAACAAACGAATTTGGGGCAAAATTCTGCCCATAACAAACAGGGAATAAAATAATATGGAACAGGATTATCTACGTCCTCTGTCAAGTCTTCCAGGCCATAGTACAGATTTTGGCTGTTACTCTGCACAAAATAGAGAGTTTCTGAGCAGAGAAGTAATGTGATGACTCCTGAAGAGTTAAAAAAAAAAAACTCTGGCTGCTGTGCTGCAAACGGATTGTGGTGACATAAGCAAAAAGAGGGAGATGAGTAAGGAGGTATATGTCATCTAACCAGAAGAACCGCATAAATAAATCCTCAGAACTGGAAATAAACCTGGCATGTGTGGCTATCACGGGCCGCAGGATTTCTGCCCAAGGACTTCCAACAGCAAAGAAGAATGGATGCCTATCCCAGGGGTGTGGGGTATCGCCTACCACAAGCCTCTTTCAGCATCATGGTGTCCTACTGTCATACGGGCCTTCACTCACACCGTACACACTCTGAATGGAAGCACAAACATGACAATACACCTCCCAAAGCTGTTCAGCAAACTCCCCAAAAGCTCTGCAGAAAATCACACAAGACACTTTCAAGGGGACCCAACTACATCTGTCATATAGAACCAAAAAAAGAAAGGGAAAAAATTTTGAGCAAGAACTTTAGGTTTCTACACCATTCAAAGAAAGAAAAATCTCAAAAATATTTTCCAACTGAGCATTTTACATTTTAACCTAGCGTTTCTCAACTCTGGCTACAGGAAAGATTACTTGAGGTGCTTTTAAAAATACCAATGCCCAAACCCCAACTCCAGAACAATGAAACAGAAAATCTCTAGGGGTGAAACATGGCATTCTTATTTTTCAAAGATCCCCATAGGATTCTACTGAGCAGCCAGGGTTGAGAACTACTACTGCTTTACTGAAATGCAGGGGAACTTGTTGTTCCAGATTCCTCTCTGGCAACCTCTATGTTCCCAATCCTTGTTTTTGGACATTTCAGTATCTCTAACATGGGCTGATATTACAAATAGTTAACAACCGGCAAAGCATTAGGAGACCGACTACAGGAAGGAGACACCGAGTCAAGACTCCCTGCTGGGGACAGAAGACAGTGTTCCTGGGGAGGAAACAAGCAGCTATTTCACCAGTCCAGCAGTATTTCCCTACTTGAACAACTGGCGCATGCTGGCTCAATACCAGCCTTCACTCCAACTATTTCATAGGACACGGTAAAATTACCAAAATAAGATTTGTATGTTCTTCATTTACTGAAACAGAAATGTCTGATATATGGCCCTTTAAATAACATACAAGTCAGTGCTAAATATATAGTCAAGTATCAAAAATAGAGTGGTGGCAGGATGGCTCAGCTAAAAAAAAAAAAAATAGAGTGGAGGAGTGGAGGGAGGTTGGGGAGCTGGGTGAAATTGGTAGTTACAAAACAGTCACAGGGTCCTAAAACACAGCACAGAGAACATAGTCAACAATGTTGCAACAACTATGTATAGTGCCAAGTGGGTACTAGACTAATGGGGGAGAGGGGAATCACTGCATAAATTATATAAATGTCTAACCACTCTGCTGCACACCTGAAACTAGTATAATACTGAATGTCAACTGTAGCTAAAAAAAAAAAAAAAAAGAAGTAAATAATATTTAAAAAACAGACTGAAGAAGGCAGTAATTTCATAACGTTTGGGAACTGTTTTTTTTAAATAAAAAATAGTATAATCTATGTATCCTCTTTCACTGAATCTTTTTCCCAGTTCTGTAATACCCCAAATTCACTTCGAAAGTAATTTCTTAATTTCTCAAAGGGCAATTCTCTACAGGTCCAGCAAGCCACAGAGAAGAAAATGATACACACAACTGGGGTTGCATCTGATGCCATCTGAACTGGATTTTCTTACTGAGTGTATAGCAACATGTCATCTACCTTCTTTAAAAAGTGACTGCCTGGGGGCAGCCGGTTGGCTCAGGTGGTTAGAGTACGGGCTCATAACACTAAGGTTGCCGGTTCGATTCCCACATGGGCCAGTGAGCTGCGCCCTCCACAACTAGATTGAAAACAATGACTTGACTTGGAGCTGATGGGTCCTGGAAAAACACACTATTCCTTAATAAAGTTAAAAAAAAAAAAGTGACTGCCTGTCTCTACACAAATTCTACATATTTTCTTAATTATTAGTTTATTGCTTGTCTCTCTACTTAAATATATATTCTTTGAGTGCAGGGACATGTTCTAGGTTGTACTGGGTTATCAGAAAAGTCATGATGCATTTTTGCAACGAAAAACATAGAAAAAATACATCATGACTTTTCCGACAACCCAATACAGCCTCAGGACCTAGAATAGAGCCTGGCACATAACAGGCATTCAATATTTGGTGAATGAATGACTACTTTAAAACAATCTACACTGTAGCTAAACTTAATGTACCCACTGGAAAAGTGTACCCACAAGAAATTGACCTAAGAATGATGTTTAGAAAGAAATCCCTAACTACCGTAAGTTACAGAAACTAGAGTGTATTTATTCTATTCAAATTCTTATATTTGGTCAATACTTGGCCATATGACATGCAATTTTACCTTTTTAACAATTATTTTATTACTTTCAAATAGTCACAGTAATGAAATATTAACAGCATTTACAAGTTGAATTTCTCCAACATCTAAACTAGTAAACCAGCATAAAAATTAGCACATGCCAATAGGCTTATAAAAGATATGTTGCATCTTTCAAAGTTAGACTGGTAATTTTATATTATTTTTCTTAATTACCAAAGCAATACATGTTCATACACATAGAAAATTTTGAAAATACAGAACAACACAAAAAAGAAAAAGAGGCACCTGTATTATCACTCCCCACGACAGTGCTGGAATTTAATATCCTAATTTAAATTCTTAGGACACACAGTCTACCTCAGGCGAATACTCTACCTCAGGCTACAGGCTCACTGAAACATCATGTCACGATTAAAGTTCATTTTTCTGATCCTTTCTACAAAATCTTGCACACATGACCTCATTCATTCACAATACCAGCACAGTGCAGAGATTAAGAGTGAGGACTCTGCCAGATAGGAAGGGTGTTGGTGGGTTGGGTGAAAAAGGTGAAGGGAATAAGAAGTACAATTGGTATTTACAAAATAGTTACGAGGATGTAAGATACAGCATAGGGAATGTAGTCAATAATATTGTATTAACTATGTATGGTGCCAGGTGTGTATGAGACTTATAAGGGAATCACTACATAAATTACATAAATGTCTAAATACTTTGCTGTATACCTGGAACTAATATAAAATAATACTGTCAACTGTAATTGAAAAAAAATCTAAATGCTGTTTAAAACAAAAAAAGCAGTGACTGAGCTCTGAGCAACAGCGGTTCGAGTCCAGCCCGAGCTGAGCAGCCGCTGAGCTGCCAACAGGTAGCAGGATGGCTCAGCTAAAAAAAAAAAAAAAAGCAGTGACAACTCTGGAACCAGCCACTTTGGGTAGGACCTCTGGCTCAGCCACTTACTAGGTGGAGGTGGGTATGCTTGTACACTTGAAACCTCTCCAAGCCTCTACCTTCCACATCTGTAAAAAGAAGCTAATAATAGTATCTACCTAGAGAGCTGTCATGAGAATTCAAGAAGTTAATATTTGTAGAGTATTTAAGAGTGTCTGGCAACACTAAATGAGCATTTGCAAAATACTTTTTCAGAAGCAAAAATAAACTACCCTTTCAATTTCCAAGTGGATGAACGGTCTGCATATTTTATACAAAACATTTTGCCTAACATTCTTACAAATAGGCTTTGGAGTTATGTAGAAAATTATTCCAAGAAACTATATAATTCCTAAAGATCACCTAACTAAAAGGTCTTAGGTTAAATGAAAGGGGAAAACAATTACCTCATAAACTTGTCTAGTACATCCTCTACCCACATGTGCATTCGAAGGGACTGAAATCCATACTGCCAAATTAATTTAATTATGTTAATTATATACCAGCTGCTTTCCTCAAACACCAGAGTCTCTCCATTATACACCCCCATTAGGCCACCAGAACTCTGAACAGCAGAGAGACCTGCAAAAACAGAGAAAGGGTAGCTAAGTCAATGGTTTCTATGCTGAGCAAATGAAAGAAGGTAATCTGAAGCTATTGGGGACATTCTGAAGTGAGTGATTCTGGGTTTCCCCCATTCTCAGGAGACGTATTAAAGAAGCTCTATCTTTAATATAGTAATACACTATACACTCACTACACTGTCCAAAAGCAGATTCTCTATAAGATGGATCAGATGATCATGCAGCGATTTCAAAATTAGACTGGCTATTTTTGGTCTAAAAAGACTAAAGAGTCAAGGAAAAAAGCCAGTGTACCAACTGAATTCAACTTAAAAACAGAAATGTCAGACATGAGTCTTTGCAATATAAATTGCTCCTGGCATACATTTTCCCTCATGGAGGAAAAAGAGAGTCCCAGGAAGTATCCACAGGAGATGTAGAAGGCAGCTAGGGGAAAGGAGGCATCCCATTTCTGCGCAAATTCTATTTTGCATAAGTGGATATTTCAGATAACCAGAAGGAAGCCAAAATTACCCAATATTCCCTGAGGAAAGGGCTTACAGAGAGGCCTGCCAGATTTTCCTCATAACCTGTCCAGCTCTTCTGCTGGTAGGGAAGTAGTCAGTCAGATGTCCCAGCTTCTAAGCACATGTCTGCACCCACAGCTGTGTGAGAGACATTAAGCCAGACACTTCAAGCCTTCTGAGCTTCATTTCCCCAACTGTAAAATGCACACCCTAGGTTTCTGCTAACTCAAACCATTCTTTGATTCTTCAACAGGAACAACAGGTTTAAGAACTGACAGCAGCAAACATCCCCACCCCAACCCCGCCCCATGGCTGTAATTCCAGATAACTGAAGATAACTGGTAACTAGTGTCCCATTACAGGAGAGTAGCTCCTAACTAAGGCAGTACCAACTGCTAGCAGGAAACTGAGGAAAATAGTTTTACCAACTTCTCTGCAAAAGACAATTAACAAGGCAGAAGTTTCAGTGCCCTATCTGATAAAAATATTCATGGATGGTTACACACAGAAAGCTGCTTAGCTCTAAGGCCAAATTACATACCCAGGTCCTTGACAAAACGCTTCATGTGCAGATTTAAAGGATGGATGATAGAACCTCCTGCTTCATATTCTTGCCCCTGCAGAGTCATGGTGGCCAGACGGCCCCCAACCTCTCCTCTTTCAAACAGGTCAATCTTCACATCTTTCCCAAATTTCTGCCGCAGATAATAGGCTGCTGAAGTGCCACCAATTCCAGCTCCAATAATCGCTGTAGGGGGGGAAAAAGGGAACCGTTTTTATCCCTCTTACCAGCTATGTGAGTTTTGTTGTTTTTGAAAAGCCATGAAACAATAACAGATGCTACTTAAGGCTATTACCAACAATTTAGGGAAGCCTGGGTAGGGGTAGGCCAATGACAGTTGCAGTGAAGACAGAACTCTCTGAATCTGGACAGCCACTTCCCCCAGACAAAAGTGTTAGATTAATTTACAAATCGACATAATTCGGTTGTTGTTGTTTGTTGTTGCTGCTGTTGTTGCCAGATGCCCAAAGATTCTCACAGTTCTTTGTGGAGGCACCAATGGGCCGGCACACACCCTTCTTTGTGCCCAGCGCATGGGAACAGAAGAGGTGGGTCTTTCCAGCACGCATTTTAAATAAAGTGGCCGCCATTTTTGCCTAGATGTGTTCGGTCTCATTAATGGAGACAGGTCAATGATCCCAAAGAACACGGCTTTAAAGGGAATAAAAAACAGAGCAAAACAAAACAAATAGGGAGCAAGAAACCAAGAAGATTGAAACCAGAAAGAGTGGGTTATTTGGGCTGTGTACTAAGTAGTTCTAGGCAGAGAAATTGTGCAAGACAGAGGCCCCTGAGAGCAGGCCAACCTCAGCAAAGCCGAGGTGGGGAGGGGAGTCCACCCTATCAAGGGAAGAAGACCGGGTCAGCTTGTTTGCACCACTGGATGTACTGAGCCCGCGTGCGCCTGTCATCTGCAGAGCAGAAGCGGACCGTCGCTCCAGGGCAAACCAGAAGACTGGCCTCCCAAAGGTGCAGCAGGGAAAGGCGGCGAGAGGGGGCTCGGTCTCCCCAGAGACCCAGTCCCCGAGACAGGGACTGCAGTCACGCTTGACGGCCGCCCGCCCGCCTGGGTCCTCTTTCCACAGCCCATTCCTCAAGTGGGCATATCTTCACACCGGAGAAGGCACGGTCTCTGGGGCACCGAAAGCGGCAGAGAGACGCTAACAGGGAAGATCGCAACCTCCGCTATTCCCGGTTCGGCCCACGCCGCCTGGCGGACGTCGCGGCTGCGGCGCCTGGTGCACTCCGCATCGGCCGCCCGGCGCGGGGCGCGCTCCCGCACCCCCTTCCGCGCGGCGCCCTCTCGCCTACCGATCTTGTCCGGCGGGGCCCGCCGCTCGGCACTCCCGAGGCAGCCCCAGCTGCACAGCAGCAGCCACAGCCCCAGAAGGGAAGAGACGAGCTCCCGAGCACCATGCCCCATGGCTCCTAATGCTCAGCACTCGGATGCACCCGACAGTCCGCCAGCCGCTGCGCGTCTGCGCTCTCCGCCCGCCCCGCCCCCTGGCCGGCCTCGCCCCTCCGAGCCCCGCCCGCACTCGCCCTGGGCATCCCGGCTCCTAGAGTCACTCCCCGAGCTCCGAACCCTGGTGGGCTCCATCCGCCAAACCCGCCCAGCCCCTCTGAAGCCTACTCTGCTTCAGAGACACCAAAGGCACCAGCGGAGGGTTACCCAGCTCTCCTCCTTCCTTCCCATCTATTCGGGTGAAACACCTTATTCACTAGTGCTCTCTTCTGTTCCTTCGATCGCTCCCTCTCAAAGAATGCACACAGCTAATCGCTCTCTAAAACAGATCCGTGAAGCTCCATATACTTATTGAGCGATCACTATGTTCCGGGGACTGTTGGGTAATAGATGAATGGGTAAATGGCGCTAGGTGAAAGCAAAACTGAGGGACATCTGGGATGGGCTGGTCCAAGGTGAAAGGAGTGGAAAAGTAGTGACAGACATGAACAAAAATAGCGTACCCATATCATACGGTGGCACATTATGCAAGCATTAACGAGAATTTAGGACCTATATTACCCTAGTTTTGTTGGGTGAGAAAATGGGTGGCTAAGTGACAGGTATTATATGATCCCATTTCTGTAATGAAGATACCCCAACCCCCCAAGAGAAAAGAAAAATCAGTATATGAAAATAAATAACAGTATGGGTAGAATGAAAATAAATTGGCTAGAAAGATTGAACGTGGAGAAAGGAAGTAGAAAATTCAATGCAAAAAGCGTTCATTCGTTGGACTAATCTTTATTGAGTTCCTATTAAGTGACAGGCAATGTTCTAGGTGATTGAGAAAAATCAATGAACAAGACAAATATTTAAAAATATTTATTCTAACCGCCTGACAAGAGAGACGTGACCCGGAGTCACGTTAGCTCTGCTTGGGCTGAAAATGCTGGGTTTCACCCGGGGCTTTTAGGTAGCCGGATCCTAAATGTGGGGTTTGGTATGGGGCGTTAAGGGGTTGCACCTCGCAGATCGCTTTTCTCTCCCCACACCCAAACAGGCCACAGGAGGCCACAATCCCCGCACCCCAACTCCTGGTTGTAGAAAGGGATCGGGCGGTGGGGGCGGAACTTAAGGCGGGAGGCAGGGCAGACCCCTCCTAGGAGAACGGGCCCAGGCGCGGCGGGCGCGGGCAAGCCCCGCCCCGGGCCACCCCGCCCGCGCGTGCTCGGCCTGAAGTCTAGGGATCCGTTGTAGTAGCTTCGCTGAGGTTATTAAGAAAACTGTTAAGGGGAAAAAAAAAACCAAAAAACTGTTAAGGAGTAAAGGTTATAAAAGTAACCTGAAACCGAGTACCCAGGAACACGTTATACGGTTTAAAGCGAGTCTTCAATTGTCCTGTTTTCCTTAGTTCTTCGGCGTGTGGTCATTTGGGATCCCATCTTCGCTGCAGAAGCAATGATTTGATTCTCTATTTGGAATCCTCATAGAAAAGTTTTAATGTATATTCAAAACACACACACACAAAAAGAACCCAAGATATTTAGTCTAATGAAGGTGACATTATAGTGAAAGGAGACAGATGATAATTAGAATAAATAAGTAAATGATGTAATATAGACAGCAGGATAAGAGGAATGGGAATGGATTGCAATTTTAAATATGATAGTCAGGGTAGGGTCTCATTGAGAAGGATGGCATTTGAGCAAGAGCCTTGAGAAAGTGAGGGAGTGGGCCAGGCAAATCTATGGGGTAAGAGCTTTCTAGGCAAGGAAAATGCCTGGCATGTTTGAGGCACAAGGAGGCCAGCGGAACAGAGTAAGAAAACTGGTGTTAGAGGTGTTAATGGAACAAGATGCAAGTTATACAAGAAATAAACATGTCTACTTAAGAGCATAAAAATATGAAGATTAAGTCCCTTTTGCACTACGTCTAGATATTACAAAGGAAGAACTAAACTCTGTGTTTTTACTTTCCTTTTTCCAAATTACATTATGCCCACAATGCCTCAGTGCATTAAGCCTACTAGGCCCTCAATAAATACTTGTTTATTGATTAGAATTGACCATGTTAGTGATCTTGACACCAGTGACACATTTGGAAACTTTCATTTCTATTACTGAAAACAGGAAAGTTTACTGAAAGGACACTCAGAGAAGAGACAGTGCAAAAGACTTGCAAAGTGGGAGGTGGATCCAAGTCTGTCTTATTTTGCACTCCTGCCCTTTTAAAATAACAGTGCCACTGAAACGCAAGATTTTTTTTTTAAATCTTGAGGGGAAAATGTTATCACATATATGAAAAGTAATAATAAGGTAATATAACAGACATTTATTCAAAGGAGTGTTGTTCTAAACAGCAGTCTCCCTAGAAAGCAAAATACTAAGATTTTCTCCTTGACCAAACTCTAGCTGGGCTCCTCTTATTCTTCTGGCCAATAAAAACGTATACAAAACCCTAACATAATTTCTAACAGCTCAAAGCCACATCTTTGGGATGTTTCTAAGTCCCCTTAAAGTACCTTCCCGAGAAAACTCAAGGCTCCCAAAAGAATTTTGTTTGTTCCAGCCAACAGATGAAGATAGAGCTGTTATATCCCAGTATCTGTGGGAATGAAGGAGTCAAACTGATAAGCACCAGTGTCGCCTTCTCAATTTTTGGAATCTTTCGTTTCCCTGACTTTACTGGGCCCCTGCTCATCTGCCTCCCTATTTCTTCATTCTCCCTTTAAAACGCCTGGTCACCTCTGTACAAATCAAAGTTGGATTCAGTTCATGCTGGACTCTTTTCCCCATTATAATAGTATACTATTGATTAAAAGTAAAACTTTAGTGTTCGGCTTTGTTTGTCTTTGACATTTCTATCTATAATTCTGCCACGGTTCCATGTCTTTTTTTTTTTTCTCTTTGAAACCACCTTGAAGAAATTCATTTTCATAGCTTCTTAATTCCTCATATCTCATTCCTTTCTTATTCTAAATAGTCTAAATGATATTAATTCTCTTAGGCAAGACAGGAAATTCAAAAGCAATATAAGAAAAGATAAACATATTTGATTACATAAAACAAACATTTTCAGATGACTAAAGATAGAATTTAACAAGTTTTTTAAAATAATGCATGAGAAAAATATTTTCCATTAATGTGACAGACAAAATTGTGGTATATATCACAAAATACAAAAAGCTTTACAAATTGATAAGAAGAGGTAAATATCTCAATATAAATACAGACTAAGCATATGAATAGGCAATTCATAAAAGAGAAAGCAAATGCCAATGGTCAAAAAAATACACATAAAAAGATGCTCAACTTTTTATTTAGTAGTTTAGACAAATGCAAATTAAACAAGGAAATACTATTTTTCATCTATTATATTGGAAAAAATTAATAAGACTAATAACATCTTAATGCAGGAGAAAATGGGGTAGAGTGGGTAGAGATCTTGGGAAATGGCTTTCAAATACTGTTGGTGGGGGTGTGAATAACTACAACCTTTTAAAAGCAATTATCTATTAGATATATAGATATACTATTTAATTCAGAAGTTCTATGTTCGAGAATCTATTCTACAGAAATAAAAGAGTCACTTATGAGGATATACATATTATGATGCTTATCACAACATTGTTTGTAGTAGGAAAGAAAAAAAAGGAGAAACCTGAATGTCCATCAATACCATTTATGGTCATTTATTCAATTTTCCTTGAATAACGTGGCATATTCATTCTATGGACTATTTTGCAACTATTAAAAAAATAATTAGATCTGTATTAGTTGAACTGGAGGATGTCTATGATGTAAGTTTAAGTTAGAAAAGAAACTTGCAAAATAATATCCATGGCATAACCACATTTTTCAAAATAACGAAAAATCCCAAGTACTTATATACATGTGCATCTGTATACATATAAATTATCATGTGAAAGCTTACAGACTAATCTGTTAACATTAATTGCCTCAAGCTGAGAAGAATGAAGGAATTATTAATCTTTTCCTTATTTACCTATATTGTTTCACTTGTCACAGTGAGCATGTATTACTTTTGTAACTTTAAACTTTAATAAAGTGTTAAACAAAACTTTATCAATAAATATAATATATAACAAATAAAAATAATAAAGATTTGATAAAGTTTTTAAAGCCTAAAATATACTTGTGCTACATCCATCAATGGAATTTTATTCAGCTAAAAAAAGAAATGAAGTATTGATACCTGCTATGACATGGGTGAACCATAAAAGCATAATGCTAAGTGAATGAAGCCAGTAACAAAAGACCACATACATTATTGTATGATTCCATTTATACGAAACATCTAAAATAGGCAAATCTATAGAGACAGAAGATTAGTGGGCTGGAGAATAGGGTGGTATGGGGAATGGGAAGTGACTGCTAATTGGTAAGGGTTTGGGTGCAGAAACATTAGGGCTCTGAATTGTGGTTTAGTGTACTCATTATTCACTTTGTATTGCATCTCATGAATTATGTGAAATAATTTTTAAACATAGGAGAATGAACACATCCAAAAATGTGATGTCCTCTTGGCAATAGTTCCTTTAGAGTATGATACTTTTGGATTTCCATTTTTGGAATTGTCTTTAGGATCTGTGGCACATTCTTCGGATTGTACTTGAAGATATGAAATATTAGTCTTTTGAAGATGAATAAAGCAAATGTTAATAGTGGATAGTATTTTTTAACAGCGTTTTGAGATGTAACTCATAACTTACAATTCACCCATTTCAAGTGTACAGTTCAGTGGTTTTTAGTATATTCACAGGAATGTGAACCATCACTATAATCAATTTTAAAACATTTTCCAAAGTGGACTGAAATGTATGTATCTTCTGACTCACTGGGTTTTAGAATTCATGTGACTGATTTGCATTAAATAACTATTTTAAAAATGTTTTTCAATGTACATTGAGTATGCCCAAAAAAAGCATATATAAGAGAAAATTCGGCAAAGATCTAGAAATATTTTTTTGGCTCTCAAAAATTTAGCTAGCAAGACAAATTTTTCTTGAAGCCCTTTTTTAAGTAAAAAGAATGAGATTTTTCTGTACAGAAAAAGTAGGAATATTCATTCAATTAAATTTGGATGAGATTACTTTCTCATATCAATGAAAAATTGCAGGTTATAGGCTCAAACTTTCATTTTTAAGTGAATAAACAAAGCATCCTCATATAAAAACGAATGTTTGCTTCCATTTCATCTTAAATACTTCAGCAACCTCAAAAGCCAAAAGCGCCGCTGGTGTAGTGGTATCATGCAAGATTCCCATTCTTGCGACCCGGGTTCGATTCCCGGGCGGCGCAACTTTTACTCCCGCCACCCTTAACACAAAGTAACTCAAAGAGTTTAATAAATTACCCTTCGTCGGGAAACATTTGGAATTTTTAATTTCCATGAAGGTTTCTATTTCATAATTCATTGCTGAAACATACAAATCTAGAAAGGATTAGACAAAAGTTTTAAAAGACAAAACAGGTCCGATCCCACGCCTGCGCAATCAGAGACATCCCTAGCGTCCGATGGAAGAGCGGCTGCGCAACAAGTGAACCTATGGATTGAGGTGTAGCCTGGCGGCCCGGAGGTTGAAAGTGCAAGATTATTCTGCGCCTGCGCGATCGGGTCACTTCGCTGGATGCTCCTAGGCTCCCGGCTCGCCGCCATCTTGTATTGGGGCTTCATTGTTCGTGCTGGGCCGGACAGAATAGTGTAATTGCCGCCGAAGAAGGAGGCGAAGTAACCTCCGGTCAGCCGAGAAACCCCATTATTCCGCAGCCATAGCCGCTCAAACGATTTGGGAGGCAGTAAAGGGTAGGGAGCTGGACCCAGAGGCGCCGCCGCGACAGCAGCAGCCATGGAGGATGAGATGCCCAAGACTCTGTGAGTCTGGGGCAGCGATGAGGGGGGCGGAATGGTTGTGGTCCTGGAGGGAGGCCTCGGCCTTTCGCTGCTCCCCGGCTTATTGTACTCCCTGGACGCCGTGATATCGCAGTTCCTCTCTTTAGCGCACAGACCTGGGTGATTAGGGACCGACACCCGGGCTGTGAGAAGACCAGATTGGGGAGAGGGGCCTCAACCTTCGAAAGTAACCCCTGCACCTTAACTACACCACAGCGTGGACTTTGGCCTCGCCACGGGCCCTCTGCGACCTCATGCCTGGAGAAGACTTGTTCATTCAAACCTCTTTTTAGAACTCGACGAGCCTTCTTTTTGTCGCATGCTTTCCTTCTCTTTTTTCCCGCCCCCCCCTTTTGATTAACCTCTTTTGATCGTTACACCCGACTCCCTTTAATGTTACTTTGATTTTCTCCTGAAACTCTTCCTTTCATATTCTTGTCGTTAATAGGAATATTTTTCTTAGGGCTGATTGTACTCATTTTCAGTGAGGTTAAAACTTTATTCTCGCAGTTGCCAACTGGAAAAGAGCCAAATATTTTTCTTCAACCTCTCTTTGGCGTTCCTTCTGTAGCACCCCTTCCCCTGACCCCCGACCAAAAAAAGCCTAAAACCAGACACCCTAAGGATTTTGAAACTGCTTTTGAAAAATGGAAATCTCACCCGGAGGTATATATCAACTGAAGGGAAGTGGATAGAATGCGTTTTTATAATCGCTTGCTAGTTTTGTGATTGACGTTGCTGACGGAGCGGGCGGCTTTTATGAAGCAACAGTTGATAAATGCCGTAATATAGTCACCTCCGAGAATTTTTAATTAGTGTTACGTGATCTCAGCGTGGGATGTTTTCTTTGTCCTATAGCTTCCCCACAGCATTCTCCCTTTGTTTTTAAAAGTATCGTGGGATCAGATGATCCTGACTTGATTGCTTTTCTGGGAAAGAAGGAAAAAACCGGATGAGTTCTTGACATACCTTTTTGTTATTACTCCTAAAATACTGGCAGTTTGAGAACTCTATGAATTAAAAATACAATGTTAGGCTTCATTTTGCGATTCTAGATATTACAGTTGTTAGAAAGTACAGTGTAGTCAATTTTTCACCATCAAAAAAGTTTCCATTTTGTAATCTATATGAGAAATAGTCAACATCTTATAGATTAGTAAACTTGATGCTAGTTTATCTGATAGTTACCTTAAGTATGTCTTTTTGATAGAAAGCAGCACATAGTGCGTGACCTTTGTTTTTTAGAAGATTATATCTGTAGGTGAATACTCGCTAACAAACCGCCTCATAGAGTTTGTGGAAACCTTTTTTCCCCCTTGTCTCTTCGCTGGAAGTATGATAACCAGCAGCATATTGGATTAAGCACTGCTCATCTTTTATAATGTCTTTAAATTTAAGATTTTTTTCAAAATTTTTAATTTCAGAAACTGCCAGAAATATCTGAGAACTTAACCTTTTTAGTACATTGATTTGGGAATATCATATAATGAAGACAACTTCACCTTTCTCAGGCCAGTCTACAAAACTTGGTAGTTAAATGGTACTAGCTCGAGAACAGGATACCAACCATTGCAGGAGAAATAATGAGGTTTTGTTCAACAAATACTTATTGAGTGCTTATGATTTGCCAGGTTCTGTTAAGTGCTTTACATGTTTGTTTAATCCTCATCAGGACTCTGTGGTAAATGGGTCTATTTTGCAGCTGAGGAAAAGCTAAGCTCAAATAATCCACTCAAGGTCATATACCTTTTGGTTCATCTTCCTGCAATTCTGCTGTCCTCAGCTCTTAGCTCTTACACTTATGACTAATTTTGCCTTGTATCCTTCATTAGAACACCCCATCCAAGAATCTTTTTCGCAAGGTAGTCCAAGCTCTAACATGTCTTACTGTCTCCTCCTTTGCTTCTACCTCCTTCAACCAAAACTCCCATTCTTCCAGTCAGATCAATCTTGACTAAATATGAGTCGATAGGTGCTAATCCCTAAGGTTTCCCAGCAGTGTTTTTACTTTAAAATGTTTGTTTTAATGACTCTGGAAGTCGAGGGCTTTTAACATGTTCTTAGCACAGTGTCTGGTTTGTGGTGAGTGAGCAATAACTTTGTTTTTTAAAAAAATGGGACAATTCCAAGCAGTGAATCAAGATTTTACTTATTCTTGAGGGTAAAAATTGTCTGAATCTCAGTTATCACCTGTGTACCCAAATGGCTCAGAGAAAATGCCTTCATTTGCCACAAATGAGTGTTCCGCATCGCCTTGTTAAGTTTGAGATTGCCAATGTTCAATTTCTGGTCAGCAGTACTTTAGAAATATAATGTGAGAAGGGGTTTGATTCTGGAGATGTTTTGAAAATAGAGCAATCGCAATTACCAGTGGATTGGATATGGGATGTGAGAATGAAGTCAACAATAAATAGGTTTATTTACACTGTGTAGTAACAGTCATTTAAGATGTGTTTATTGCAAAATATAAGTAAAAAACAGCCTTGAGAGCATGAGTGTCTAGGAAGTCTTCAGGCACATTTGTTCAGGCTGGTTTATGTATATGTTCTGATCTCCAAGTGAAGATGGTGCTAGCTAATAACAAGAGGGTTTCAACTATCATGCAACAAACTATCCTTCGTGAAGAGTAGAGTGTTTAATAGTAGGGTTACAATGCTGGTGTATAGTGTGTGTACGAATTTAATGTTCTACACAATTTCATAATTAGCAAAAGACGTGCACCTTTTCCCCATGAACTAGAGTAACTCAGGCAAAATGGGATAATTTTCTAGCAAATTGCTAATATTCAAAAGTGATTCTGTGAGAATAACAGTTATTTCTTTAACAAATAATTTATAGAGCATTTACAGTGTTCCAGGCAGAGTTCTACATGATATAGTATAAATAAAAATAAAAATACCTTATTGAATTCATCATTTGATAAAAATGTATGTATTCATATTTTTAATTCAAATTTCCAAGGCCTCCTCAAATTCTTTATTTTTATGTAATGATTGTGGCTCAGAACAAACCAATACAGCATTCTGCTTTGTAAATTTTTTCTTTGGGCTAAATTTTCTAGAATTGTACTAATATAAATGAATATTTAAATGTTTTGGATTCCAATTTTATAACTACTTGAACTTAGTTGTCAGCCTCAAAAATATGTATTAAATTGATATAAAATCCTATCCCTGGCAGAACTGTTAAGTTTTCATTAGTGACATTGGTGACTTTTTCCATTGAATCTTCTCAGGTAGCTTTTTATTTTGAAAAATTAAAAACCTACAGAAAAGTAACAAAAGTAGTACATTGAAGAGTATGGTAACTTTCATGTGGATTTACCAGTTGCTAATAATTAGGCAAATTTGCCTTATTTATGTATAATTTGTTTGTTTTCTGAATCATTTGAGGAGACATCATGACACTTTAGGCCTAACTACATTTCCATCTAATTCCTAAGAACAAGGACATTCTCTTATATAAATAACCATGATACAATTTTCATATTTTTAACTAATATGCAGTTCATATTCATGTATCCAGTTGCGCAAGAAAGACATTTTTTTAGTTCATTGATGTTCATTTGCCTTAACAGTTAATTTTCTTCTACTCCTATCTTTACTTTCTGTTCTGCACAAGATTGGTACATGACCTCAGAGGTGATATGATATGGGATACCTCAATCCATGCTGTTAACAGGAAGTCCATGGGACAACTAAAAAGGGATAGTTTAATGTTATTTCCAAAAAAAGTCATTTTGAAAAATAAAAACTATAAAAATGAAGAAAATAACATTTTTGTTTAGTAGTACAATAGACATCATGACAGGGAACCTTGGCTTGCAACTGCTCCATGTATCAGTCAGGATTTCTTTAAATGGAAGCAGCAAAAAAAATTTAACCATAAAAGAAATTTATTTAAAAGATATTGGACACTCCCAGAATTTGCAGAAAGGTTGTGGAACCTGGCTTAGAAAACATTCAGCAAAGAGAGAAGACTGTCAGGCCACAGTCCTAATCAAGGCTCAGTTGATCTCAGTACAGATACCACAACCACATCCACTGAGGACCAAATACAACAAGCTTCCACTTTCACTGGACATGAGACGCATTGCTGTTTGCCAGCAAAATGGACTTTCTTCAGTCTCTGCTGCTTTTAGCCCTATCTTTGTCTTCTGTGTTCAGGATTGGTATACCTAAATCACCTGCAAGGTAGACTACAAAACCATTATCTAGGCTTTCCAGCTTCTGTAGAGGAGTCAGGCTCTGCCTTATGATGATTTCTCTAAAAATAGGAAGAAAGGTGTTTGGCAGCCAAAAAGAAAAAAATAAAATAATCCTCGACATATGTAACAAATTCATACTGTTAATAGGAAATCCTTTGGCTTCAGAAACAGAATAGTATGTGACCAAGTATGAAACAACTAAAGAAACAGCCATATATAAAAATGAGAATTAACTTTGTAAATTTAAAGCATTCTACAAACTTGTTTTTCCACTGAAAGTATCTTGAGTATAAAAAGGATCTGCAGATTTCAAATCTGGGCTTTCTATCTCAAACTAGTGTTTAGCAAATAGGTTTGGAAAGTAATAACATCATTAAGTTATTTCTAAAAATTTGAGGTAGGTTTTAGTGATTAATTTAGTGGTAAAAAGAAAAGACTAATATAATAGGTTATTTTTATTTGCACAAGGAAGATGAGATTTTTGTCCTTTGATTTCTTTGATCTGAAAATGTTACTTGTACTTTATTGTAATGGTATCCAAGGCTGAGAGCAAGTTGTTTGTGTAACATCCTCTGAAGAGCATTTCTCTATAAACAGCTGTGTGTCGAGTTAACTAATAGAGGCTCCTGGAGCTTGCAGTGTACAACAGGCCACATCAAGTAAACAAATGTAAAGGCAGTACAAACCATGGTGCTTTTTAAGTGCCCTATTATTTCTTTTAATTACCTGTCTTCATACTAGGTAGTATCAGTCAAAATTTTAGACAATTTTGCAGAGTAAATGATAGAATTCAGATTTCCTAATTACTGTCCACTTGTCACTAGGTTGTCTAGCTTTCACAAAGTACGTATGTGTTAGAACTAAACTTTCAGAACAGCTTTTTTTTCATTTAGATATTGAAATCCTGAGAATTTCTTATAGGTACAGGAGTCAGGTGAGAATAGACACAGAAGAAGTATAGAAATAGTACAGAGTTCTCACATAACCTTCACCCAGCTTCCCTTAAAGTCAACATCTTACATAACCATGGTACAATACTATTAACTACAAACTTTATGCCAGTTTCCCCAGTTTTTCCACTAGTGTCCTTTTTCTATTTCAGGATCCATCCCAAGATACCACTGTATTTAGTCATGTCTACTTATCTAATATGAGGAGATAACTTTCAAGACCATGGCTTTTTTGAAGGGTACTGTTTCTCCACTGTACAATGACTACTTTTTTCTCAATATACTCCATTATAGAATTGAGTCATTAAGACTAACCCACACTCAAGGAAAGGGAAATTAAGCTCCACTTAATAGAGGGAGAATTTGTGGACATAGGTTAAAACAATCAATTTGTGGTTACAACCAATTAGTATTTTATAGGAGACACTTTGAGGCTCTATACATATTGTATTTGTCCTTAACATTTTATCAACTATAAAACATCCATGGGTGGATTTTCACAGTAGCAATTATTACTGTGGTATTTTAATGGTGATTTCCCTCATTCCTTCTACATTTATTGATTAGAGTTCTGCCAGGATCCAGTCAAGAATTATTTATTATTTAATGTATTTGATTGTTAGTGTCTTTTAAGTCCCTTTTAATGAAGAACAGTCCTCCCTTTTTTTTACTTTTTTTTTGTAATATTTTGAAGAGATCAAACAAGTTGCCTTATACAATATCCCACATCTGGATTTGTGTAATTGTATTATATGTCCAGTATTCTGTAAATTTCAATCTAAATTTAAGCTTTACTAGATTCAAGTTAGACCTTTTTGATTTGACTATTTCATAGGTTTGTTTTTTGGTTTTTTTTTAAGCTGAGCCATCCTGCCACCTGTTGGCAGCTCAGCAGCTGCTCACCTCGGCCGGGCATGGAACCCCTGTTGCTCAGAGCTCAAACTCTTGAGCGAGCTCTTAACCAACTGAGCCACTCAGCCCGCCCTCATAGGTGATTTTTGTATAATTCATATTGTATACACGGTAGGTATCTCCTTGTCCATCTATAATGTGATTTAAAGTTTATCACTGGGTTAAAGTAGGAAAACAGCCAAAGCTCTTTTTTTTTTTTTTTAAAGACTTTTATTGGGGAATTGGGGGGATGGGAACAGTGCTGGAGAATTGGGGGAAGGGGAACAGACAAGTTGCTGTCCTTTTGTTCTTCAGTCTAGTTGTGGAAGACGTTGCTTCACTGGCCCAAGTTGGCACCATCATTGCACTCTACCCGGGCGAGGCACCTCAGTCGCTTGCTTCTGGACGGCAGCTCACGCTGGCTGCTGGCTACATACGGTAGCCCATGGCAACCCACTGCCACAGGGGCTGCAGTCTGCGCCGTTGCCGGCTACTCATGGCAGCCCAGCTCCAGGTTGAGCTGTTGTTCAGCATCTTAGCTGTGGAGGGCAGTGTCACTGGCCCTCATATGTGGGATCCGAACCGGGGCCCTCTGGCGTCCCAAGCCAGTTCTTAACCATCGCGCCACTCGGCCGGCCCCAGAGCTCTCATTTTTAAGGTAGGGTTTTCCCTTTGTAGCTGTTAAGTAATCTATGTGATAACTTTGGTACCCTGCAAATACCCATGGTATAATACCCAGAGGGCTTACATGTAGTGAATTTAATACAGTCTCTCTACATTTATTGACTAACATTTTTCTGTCAAGGAGTGCTTTTCCCTCATCAACAATAGCTATTAGATTACACTATACTAGAGTTTCTACTCAAAAGGCAAAATAAATGCTTAATTCTTTCCCTTTAATTGCCAATTTTCAGAATAAGGACTTGGTATAATAATAGCCTCCAATATCAGAAACATTGTTATTGGATAGATGTTGCTGTTGCCTTTTTTAGTGTCATTATTCTACCTGATCTTTAAATGTTCATTGTTCCTTAAGACTTAGCACTTCTCCCTTTGCCATTTTAACCTATTCCAGTGCCTTCATAGTAATCACTTTACGTATGTTTGTTGAACGGATAAATGGAAGAAATTGAGTCCATGCTTTCTGACATGTATAGGTATTTATTTTGGGGGAAAAGAGTACATTCCTCTCAACGTTTTTTTTTGAAGGATTCTTGGCAGAAGAATGAGAAAGAGAAACTTACAAGTATAGGTGTTGAGAGGCTACAATCTCTGATTGCAGAAGTGATAAATCTCTAACATATCTAGAGGTAATCTCGTTTTAAAATCCTGCTTTGAAAATTTATTTATAAACCCTTTAAATAAAGATGATCCCAGTCATGTGGTTTTATAATATACTACACTAATTAAGTTTGTTAGTCACCAATTCATATTATCTGTTAAAAGTCTCTCCTGGAATCTTTTGTACTCCCTTTCCACATCCACTCATCATTGATATTCATTGAAAGGTTTTTCCATCCCTTAGTGAGCATGTGCGACACCTGATAACTGATTTATCCATGATTTTTCAAAAATATTGCATAAAAGTATACCCTAATTGAACAGTGTTAGGGGAATTGTGAATTAAAAATTGAGGAAATTTTAATGTTCTCAGTAATACTGTAGAAGTAAAAATAATTGCAAAGCGTCCCAGGATTGATTGTATTAAATGTTCTATATACCTAATGATTCATTTGAGAGATTTTTAAGCATATCTTCCTAAGGTAAGCCTAGGAACTTAGAAATAAAAACAGATTTAATTTGCAGCACTTTGACTAAACACATACACACACACACACTAGCTTCCCCTCTACCAGCAGTGTTTAATAACTTGGAATTTACATATCGTACATCTTTTGAAAGAGATTTTGACATTTTGGCAAACTTTTATAAGCTATTCCCAAATAGTGTAGTTTAAGGCAAAGATCTCCCTGTTCCCAAAATTCATTTTTCAATAAGCAACTTTAGAAACGGAAGCAAAAGAAGCAAACTTAAAATGGTAAATTGTTTTTCTTTGTGTTTCAGATATGTTGGTAACCTTTCCAGAGATGTGACAGAAGCTCTAATTCTCCAGCTCTTTAGCCAGATTGGACCTTGTAAAAACTGCAAAATGATTATGGATGTAAGGGTATTTTACTTAAGTTAACTTTCTTTTTTATATATATTATTTAAACACATTATTTCCAGAAACTCTTAAGTTAGTTTATACAATTTGAATTCATAGGGATTTTAGTGAATTTGTAGTAATCAGTTTTGGCCACTGAGTTTAATTTGTTTCACTAAATAAAGGAAGAAGTGAATGGAAGTAATCATTTCTAAAGCAGATAACTATAGATAGGCTCTTGTTTTAGGGTGCATTGAGGCATCAGAATTGTTTATTTTATATGTGGTATCAGTTAATTGGCTAATTTAGAAATTCATTTATTACAATTAGATTGGGAAATTGGGTAAAAAATAATAGACATTTGATACTGTGAAAATGTTTTTAACTTTATTTTTAAAAGTCATGATTCAGGTTTTTCTTGCACTGTGGCAATTCCCATCCATCAGACCGTTAGGAAAAAAACATCAAATTCATTCATCTAATTGGCATTAACCCTGAACAATATGTACAAGTATAAAAAGACATTAAAATTTTTTTTGATGGGAAAGACAGTGCTAAAGAGCAATCCTTTTTCCTATGAGCTCTCCTGTAAACTCTTGGTTTTCTTTTCTATTGTGTTCCAATTTAACTTTTTTTACTTGGTATTTGAAAAGTAATTGTTTTTTTAAAAAAGTAATTGTTTAGCCAATTGGCTCTGATTTCTTATCTTAAACTTTAAAATATCAAACCTTTCCCCTAATGTGGCAGGGTCATCTGCATATAATATAGATGGATTCAACAAATGTTTTTGCCCTTTATACTCTAGTATTTTCTTATCACATTTAATATCCGTGTGCTTTTGAATAAAGAAGAAAGGACCCCTGTACCCTTAGAGAAAAAGAAGAGAGATGAGAAAATGGTAGAGAATTTAAAATCAATCTTTCCTCGATGAGGTTCTCCATCCTTATCCCAGTAATAACAGTTATGGAATGCTCACCTGTTATTTTAGTTCTGATGCCTTATCACAAATGTTCAACAGAAATGTTGCAAAGCACGTGTTATTCCAATTTAATATATGCAGAAATTAGGCAAAGCAAAGATGTAAACCCGGATTGAGCTATCTGAATATAAAACCCCTCCATTGGTTGTAGGCTGTCATTCTTCTCTTCCTGTCTGGGTCATTCTAGATTTTTGCTGAGTAGAGATCATTTGGCAAAATGTTGATGACTTCCTGACCTACAGAAAAGACTAGCTAGGTTAGCTTTTGCCACTTTGTATAGATTTTGGATATTGATTACTCAAAGGCTTAAATTAGCATATTAAAGTCTAAATTCCAGTCTATTCATACTGTTGGACTGATATGTCCATATTTATGAATGTTATACTTCCTGGCATATAAAGGCCAATAATGTGTACATTTAGATTCTTTTCATCTAACAAGTACAGTTTTTTTCTGGGTTCAGATTAACTAAAATGAACACTCTCATCTGATTGCCCTACTCTTAAATATAAGCTGCTTTTTCTAACCACCTTCTGATGCCTGTCACCATTGATCTTTGTAGTAGAATTCTCATTAAGTGTAGTGTTAATTTGAATTATACAATTTTTAAAACATTTTTATATTTGCTGATGTTTTTTAAAATGGATAGTCTCAATATTATCAATTTGTGGTTGCCGCTTTGCTATAAAATTCTTAAGAATCATTGCCAGTGACTTTTTAAAACTATCATGCTTAAAACTAAATGGTATATTTATTTATTTTAGTATCATTCTAGTCTTTTAGTTTCTTATTTTAACAATGCTGTTTAGGAGATTATGGAAAGAATTTTAAAATGGACTATGAAATCATTTGGTATTTTGCACTGATAGGTGTAAAATATTGGTGTTTCTTCTGCTTTAATTTGCAATAAAATATCCAACCTTCACTTATGAAACCTTAACTATTGAAAGACCAGAAAAGAGGAATTTTTAAAAGACTGCTAAGCAGCTAAAAAATTTATGTCAGAAAGTCCAAATTCTAAAACCTTACTTAACAGAGAACCTCTTCAGTTTTCAGAGCCTATTTATTTATATTAAAGAAACAGGTTTTAGAAGGTTGGCTGAGATTTTCTGCTACTCAGTAAGTTAGAAGCAGCAAGGATATATGTACATTTAAAGCAATAAAAAGTAACATCACGGGGAAGACAGAAAAATTAAAAGCCAACACTAAGACTTGAGATCATAGGAGCCTAGTCAGACTTAACCTCTGTAACTTAAAGAAAAGATTATATGATGATGGGGAGAATATAGCTATATAGCCATTCAGCCATAATTAGGATGCTTAGTCATTAATAAAATAATAGATTATTATGTAGTAGTATAGTGTAACTTGTTGAAGAAGATAGCTTTCTATAAAAATTGTTCTTTTTTTTTATTAGTTTCAGGTGTACAAAGCAGCATAACAGACATTTATACCATTCACAAAGCGATAAACCCAGCCCCCCCCCCAATCTACTACCTCTCTGACATCTTCTATAGCTGTTACCAAAAAAGTAGTTCATTTTTAAGTGTTTATTTTCTTATCTAAAGATTTACTTGTGGAATGGACCCTCCATTGCCCATGGCCTGATAACTGAGATGTTATAATTTTAAGGTAATGGGAGCATAAGATTTAAAATTGACTATTGTGTTTTTCCTTCAACAGACAGCTGGAAATGATCCATATTGTTTTGTGGAGTTTTATGAGCATCGTCATGCAGCTGCAGCACTAGCTGCTATGAATGGGCGGAAGATAATGGGTAAGGTAAGCTGTCATCATTAAGGAAGGTGACTTGCGCTGGAAAATTTTAAGTTGCATAGTTTTATTTCCTTTTTTAAAGCATATTCTCTTCACGGCAAAAGATCACGTTTAATATTAAAAAGGTGGGATAAAGCTTTTAGGGGGCATGTTTATGTTAGTATTCTACATGATGCCTCGCACGTGGGAAATACTAAAATATTTATTGAGTTACTCAAGCTTGGATGAAGCATCTAGGAACATTGGATACTAATGGGGAAGAAGAAAGGGAAAAACATTCCTTGGTACTTTAGATAAGAAAGGTTAGTTGAATGTTAACAGAAACTTATGTAAGATTTGGATTTGTCAACTTTACTTACATAAGCATAGATTAAAAGTTAAGTACTGAACCTTTGACCTGAACGGATACCCCGTTGAATATTTCATCCCAAACACGTACCTTCCTATGTGTTTATAGAGGCAAACCTTGTAATATCTGATTTTGAGCTTTATTTTTATGGAGTATAAATGTAGAAAATTTTTTTAGGAAGTCAAAGTGAATTGGGCAACAACCCCCAGCAGTCAAAAGAAAGATACAAGCAGTAAGTATATTTTATACTCTTTGAACATTTGTTGTTATTGTACACAGTAGTTTTATTGTAAAGCATATAAGCATCATACGTGTTTGCAGTAATGTTTTGATCGTTATCCTAAGATATGATTTAATGTGTTTGTGTTAATAAATTTAAGAACAAATCTAATCTTTGTCATCAGGTAGTACCGTTGTCAGCACACAGCGTTCACAAGGTAATTGTATCTTCTTAAACATAAAATGAAATCTCTTGAAAGGGTATTCACTAACCATCTGAAGTTTTTGTGTTTGATGTTGGGGGGAGTGGGGAGGGAAGAGGTCGTATTTCTATTTGTTTCTGGCAATATTTTTCCCCTTCTTCCCAGTGTTGACCAAGTGTGGCTTGTCCACTACTTTGGTGCTATTTCAAGCTCTCTGACCCTCTTGGTAGCAGCTGATGCCTTAGAAATACTTTCACCAGCTAAAGGGCAAGATACCCTGCTTCCTTGAGGTCACTATCTGTGCTTCATATCCAGATCTTCTGATTGCTTGAGTTGCTCCTGAAACTGTGTTTCCCAAATGGCAACCCAATATGTTGCTTAAGACCTGCCAAGTAGGGGTAACTTTTCTTTCCAAATATACTTTGTCAGAATTGATATATATGTCTATTTTAAAGTGTTGATCCAACTATTTTGTGTTTTTAAGTGTTCCTTTTCTTGAGCATTGTCTTTTTAAAAAAAAAAAAAACTTCACATATGGGATCGTTATTTTTCTCCATTGCTTTTTTAATGGCTCTAATATAAAGTGAAGGGATTACTGTTTTCATTCTGTTGCCTTCAGTCTTAGTTCACTTGCACATGGATTCACATAAACTGAATGGTGTAATGTCTGGGCAACCAAAACTGTTGGCTTTTGAGAAAACTGTCAAATACTTTAACATCAAACTGTTGCAATGCAAGGTATTTCTTTGATTGTTCTTCACAAAATATGGTTAAACCAATTTAGTCTACATAACTCGCAATACCACTATTTTATTTTAATTTGTAAAGCTTTAATAAAGTGGTAAACAGAATAAATGTAAATAATTATTATTAGAATGGTAATTAAGTCATTAATTTTTTTTGCAAAACTTATGTTTTATTAGTTTATTTTCTTAGACCAGTATAATAATTGGCTGTAAGTAAAAAGATAACTGTCAGTTTCCAGTTAGATACATCACAGTCTTTAGGAGAATCTTTCCTATATTGTCACCTTGATTCATTATGTTTAAAATTGATAGGATTTATATAGATATAGGATAGTGCTTTGTTTATGTTACTATAATCCATAAATTATTTTAAGAATACTTTATTGAATAGATTTTAGTATTTTTTAAATTCTAAAATTTTATTTTTCTTTTCACTTCCCCTTCCTTCCCCTTATAAGATCATTTCCATGTCTTTGTTGGTGATCTCAGTCCAGAAATTACAACTGAAGATATAAAAGCTGCTTTTGCACCATTTGGAAGAATATCGTAAGTAACAGAAGATAAATGTAAAATGCTACTAATTAGAAAGAATCTTATTTAGAAGTACTTCAAAAAGCTATTGTGAATTTTGGACATTAATTTTAACACTTAAATATAATGTATTACATTGTTTAGAGACTATTCAAGCAGTTAAGAACCAAAGATTGTTTTCCCATTAATAAATACATCTTTGGTCTTCAGTTATCTTCAAATCCTTTTTCATTTAGCATTAGCTTTAATTTACAACAAATTTACTGTTACACATATTGTTTCTTATATGTGTTTTCCTAGCTTGGTTATAATCTTTAGTAAACTTGTGCTGTGACTAAGGAATTTAGACCTTTTGAGCACTTCTATGATACCATGCATTTTGTGTTGATATATTTTAACAAAAAGAAACCTTAACAATTTAACCTAAAAAGCACTTATAAATGTTAATTCCAAGGTATCTACCCTTTTGTTACTGCTAACAACAATAAAATGCCTTTTAGTAATCTGCGGAGCTCTGTCGTGCTTGCATTTGTTATTAATCATACAGCTTAGGCTCTTTGTAAATAGCTCACTCAAGACAGTATTCATCATAAAAGAATTTTAATATTTTGAAAAATATGCCATAATAGAGTAAGAATAGTAATTTGATTATAGTACTTTCTTAAAAAGTTATTGTTGAATTTAGAAAACAATTTCTTTAGGGTTTCGGTTACTTTATTATTGTTTCAGCTAGAAGAGTAGTAAAAAGGAAAACACTAGCTTTGGTTTGCTTTGATGAACAGACCAGCAGCAGAGATGAGGTGAGGAGACTGGAAAGTAAATGCCAATAGTATTGGTGAATAGTATTGGAGAGTTTTCGCTTGAAGTGTTGAAATTTGTTGGTAGGAGGATGAAAACGCATAATAAGGGGCCAACTTGAAAGGCATTTGCGAGGTTAGGCTTTATAAATGGAGTCTTCTATTAGGTGACTTTTTGTGTGTGTGTGTGTGAGAACTGATTAAGAAAATAAGTGAAGTTCTAATTTCTTGATTGTTTTAATCTGTCTTAGGTTTTAGCTTGCTTTCAGATATCTACACTGGAAGGTCTTAACCTTTGGCCTCTCTATAAAATCACTATACAAAATTTTGTGTTTGATTTCCTTTTGATGTGGAGTATCTTTGTAAGTTGTGTCCTATTTTCAGAGTAGTCGCAGGACCATAAAAGGATTAAAGAACCCTGATCTAGATATTTGCTGCTTTTTTCTTAGAGAATCTTTTTCACAAATAAGTACGAAATATATTTCAAGGCTAATATTTCTTAAAACTTAACTTTAGGAAGAAAATTTTTTAACACTTTAACAGATAAAATAGCTATTTTATTAAATGTTTTAATTTTGATTGAAGTAACTGTTCTGAAAACATGGGAATTTTTGTTTGGGATTCGATAAAAATTAATAATCGGTGAGTTTAAGTTAAATGACATTCAGATTTTAGTAATTTCATGACTTTAATCATGGATCAATTTCTTTTTGTAAAATATGTTGGTATCATAATTATAGTCTGTAGATTTTATTATGGTCAGCCATGATTATTGATGTATGTATTAGTTTTTCTTGGGTAAGTCCTTTCCTTAAGGTTTATGGTTTTCAGTTGAGGTAATAATGTCTAAGCTTTAGCCTACCCAAAGAGTTAGTGCTCCTAAATTTAAAAGAACCATTTAGCATGGTTCCTGATGGGTAGCATCATTTCCTGATTTTTTTTGTTAAAGGAGATAAGGTAATAACTATTTATTGAAATGTTCTCATGATAGATGTTCTCAGTAGAGATCCTACAACAGGGTTTGATTTATAGAAGATGTGCCATAAATAGTCACCTATTAAAATATTTAGTATAAAAAATATATTACTTCCTTGTCCTAATTAAATACAGTAAATTCCTGTTTCTTGAGTTTAGTCTTAATAAATTTTGGTATAGAAGTGAATCGGCTACCAAATTAAATGCATGTGTACCATACAGATAGTTTAATAAGTATTTTTACATATTAAGTGACTTGCATTAGTTTTCCCTTTTCACCATTGCCTCTTTGTCATTTTTACCCTAAACAATAAATCACTCCTAAATTGATCAAAATATGCTTTTGTATACTTTAATATAAAATTATATTGCATGGCTTTCTGACTTGGGTTTTTGTTGTGAAAGTGCCTGTTTTGTTCATGTGTCCTGAGAGAACAAGCATTGTGACATACCTGGCTAACTTAAAAGCAGATTGCCTGTGAAGCACAATTTGAGTCCAATTTTTTGAGGTATGGAGTTTTAGCTATCATGGCTGGGTTTTTTACTCAATCTCAAATAATAGGGCTCTGGTTATTTTGCAGAGTATCTCTGAAGAATGGACAGAATTGCCCTGGCTAACTACAAGCTACGGTTCACAGTGGATAAATGTTGGCGTGCTTTTTCATTTTCTGACTTTTTTAAATTTTGCTTTCATATCTTATAGTTTCCAATCAATCTTAGATGATTGCTATTTTGAAATTCAGTATAAAATCCTTTTGTATATAGTTTAAAATTAAAATGTGTATTTAGTATTTTTCTTCAATGATTTAGCATTTCTGAAAATGTCAAGTTCTCAAAATTTACCCATAGTTCAAAAGGGGGGTATGAATTGATCTGAGAAAATAAAATTAATTAATAGGGAATATACAAGTTTTTTATTTTCTTAGTTTCCAGTTTTCTACTTTAATTTTTTAATGATTAGGTAGTATATGGTATCAAATAGCAAATTATTAATTGCATGGTTAAAGAAAGCCATTCATCTAATGTACCTGTGAACCCTATAAGTGGTTAAGTAATTCATGTGAATAGCTGCCTTCACCATGCTTAATATTTAAAAGCTTAAAACTTTTTGGAGTGGGAGGCAATTTCTGTACAATATATACATATTTAAGAAGTTATTGATTTGCATGTTTATAAAATTAAGCCTCATTTGCTAGTACATGATAAATTTTATAGAATTAAAGGTGAATTTGCATTAAAGGTTTATTTTAATGAAGATGAAACATGAAAATGAGTTGTGTGTAAAATTCTCAGTTGATATCCAGAGGAGAGTTTGCAAACCTAAACTCCTAATTGTTTCTGATTTCAGAGATGCCCGAGTGGTAAAAGACATGGCAACAGGAAAGTCTAAGGGATATGGCTTTGTCTCCTTTTTCAACAAATGGGTGAGCTCAATACAATACAAAGTGCATGTGCATTGCTTCAAGAATAAAGAATAAAAATACTTTGTTTTAATTGTTAATCTTTTCTTTCATCTGCTACTTGTTCATTTCGGTGGTAATTAACACTCTAAGGATATGTTCTTTTTCCTGTTTGGTTATTTACTTAACTTTTATTCAGTACCTATGCATGCAAAGTACTGTTAAAATGTTTTCAGAATAGTCAAAGTAGAGATGTTTAAATTATCAGTCAAAGATGGATATTGAAAATCTCATTTTTATATTTAATTCATGTTTTATAGTCCCATGATAATTTAAAGTAGTTAATAAAATGCTCTAGTGGGTGAGGACTTTTAAAATTGTTTCTTAATGTATTTGAAAATGTCCCATCGTTTCTTTCATTCACCAAATATTTACTGAACACCAGTTTGCATGGACTTGAAATTTCTGGGTTTTGCAGAGAAATGGAAGGACAGTGCAGTTTGTCAAAAGAGAGGTGAGAGTAGGGTATATAAAGAAGGAAAAGGCTCATATTTCATGTGACAGATGATAAAGTCTTTGACATGTCCTCCGTACCGTGTAGTACTGTGGTGGTGTTTTTTTTTAAAAAAAGAATGAGGAAGCTCTGTAAGTGTGGAGTGCAGATTATAGAAAGATTTCCACGGTATATTGTTAGGTGAAAAAGCTCATTTTTGTAAAAGGGAAGGGAGCATATATGTATTTGGTTGACATGTGCATGCACGTGTTGTGTGTGTTTTGCTCACAAATAAGAAACTTGTTGCAGGAGTTCCTATTTGGGGGTAGGTAGCAAGAATTAAGCAGATGGGGGATAGAGTGGGAAGCTTCTCAGTATATTGTATTGTTTGAAGTTTGAGCCTTGTAAATATATTACAAATTCAAAAATTAACTTTTTTAATGTGATAACTCAAGGTTCAAAACAGTTAATTCCAAAAATATAGGGGTGAATGGTGGGAAATTTTATTTATATTCATTAATCTTGGAGTATACACTAAGGTTTCATTAACCTTGGATTTTTATTGTATTGCCTCTATGTTACGACTATTGTTTGCCAATGATAAGTATGGAAATACTGTACTTTCTGTGTAAGAGTGCCTTAGAATGAGCCGTTATAAGTATTTTATAGTATGAAATGTATTTTAGAAAGGCTTTTCTTAATTTAGTAAATGGAATATTTGAAATAAATATTATTTCTTGATGGCTTCAGGTCAAATGCATGAACATCAGTTATTGTGCCAGTTCTTTATGGGTTTTTAAAAAATATCTGTTTGCAGTTATGCCAAGTAGTGTCAAACTGTCTTGTTTTTTCTAGTTCCTATATCTACATTGGAACTAATGTCTGGTTATTCCTCACCATGAACTCTTACTATCCAGATATGTGCCATAACAGCTTGCAACCATTTTGCCCAAAATTGACTTTCCAAATTAAAAAATCTGTTCTAAAAATGTTTACATGGTTTACAAGTTCAGGCAAGAGAATGTAGAATATAATTGTATCTCAGCCATTGTATAGTAACATTGTAACTTATAGTCAGATCATTTAAGTGTTATGCAGTATAGCCATCATCTTCCTCTCATGAAGTGAAAATGTCTTCCGAGAAAGTAGAAAAACCTATGAGGAAAATGGGTAAGCCTAAGAGGTCAGGAAAAACCCACATGTTATAAGAAAATTTGGAAATGGTAATCAATATTGAGAGGTGAAAAGATAAAAGCTCCACCACATGTGTGTCCCATCTACCCATTATTGGGCTGTTGGAAAAGTCATGATGTATTTTTTCTCTGTTTTTCGTTGCAAAAATGCGTCATGACTTTTCGGACAACCCAATACATTTTTTTCTGTGAGATGAGAAAAGAAAAACTTTGAGAGTATAGTTAGTTGTGAAAGCTTTACTGTTATCCACAGCATAATATTTAGGAAAGGTAGAAAAATACCTTATACAAGGGGCTGATAGCCACAACTATTGTGAGTTCCTTGGAGGTTGGATATACAGGATTTTAGTGTTTTGTGCTATTTGGGAAAATAGGTTGGCGGCTTTCGGTGGGCTAGGAATGTAGTTTTTCCATTTGAGATTATGGAATATAGACCCCTGCTATATAAAAATCACTATCAAATCCATATTTAGTATGGAATAGAATCAGATAGCAAAGGATGTCTGTGGCCCCTGGAGTTAGTCAGAGATGAATTTGAATCCTGACAGCCATCACATGATGGGTATGACTTTAAGTGATTTAATTTAATGTTCCCAAGTTTACATTTCAGCTTCTATAAAATTTGTGATATGTGATTGGTAGGCACTCTCTGATTGTTTTGAAGTGCCACAGCCCTGATTGCAATTACCTCACTCCCTTTGCCTATCTACCTGTGTTGTGCTTGCTAGGCAAACCCCAACACTGGTTGAATATAGCTTTTCTGTCTACTCCGAAGTAACTGAATGTTATTAGAGAAAAACTGAGTCAGGTTTCACTTCTGATTTAATAGTCACGCATGTTAGATGAGTATATGGTGGTATCTTCGCAAACCTTTGTTTCTCTAGTAAGTTTGATTTCCTGTTCTTTGATAACTATTTCATGCCCCCTCATATCTCCTCAAATATTTTCACTCTTTTCCATCATCATCCAAGCTGTAAACCTTATGCTTCACTGAGAAAATTCCCTATCATACAGGAATTCCCTCAGCTTTCAACCACCAAACCTACATAAAATTCATCCACTTGCCCCTTCTTCCTGTTATAGTGGAGGAAAGACCCTGCCTATAAAAGCCAAATCACTTACAATTGGGATCCCACCTCGCTTGCCTTTTCAAGGATTTTTACCTTGTGCTTATTTTTTTTCCTAATACAACTTTATTGAGATATAGCTCGCATACCATAAAATCCAGTCATTTTAGGTGTTCAATTCAATAGGTTTTTTTAGAATATTCACAAACTTATGTAACTATCACATACCACAATCTTAGAATATTTTCATCGCCCCAGAAGGAAGCCATGTACTCATTAGCAGTTACTGTCCTTTCCTTCTACATCTTTTCCCCTCCCAGCCCTGAGCAACTATTAATCCACTTCCTGGCTATATAGGTTTCCCTGTTACAAACATTTTTCTATGAATGGACTTGTATAATATGTGCTATACTTGTTTTGTCCTGTGTTACCAGTCTTTCCTTCTCCACTGGATCATTCCTATCAACTTAAAATGCATATTCTAGCATCTCTTAATCAAAATCACACTTGACCCTATATCCCTTTCCTGCTTATATCCCCACTTCTCTGCTGTAATTCAGAATCAAGCTTCTCAAAAAAGTTGTTTGCATATTTTTCCACTTCATCTCCCATTCACAACCATGTACGCACCTTAAAAAGTTTTTTCCCTCTTCTGTGAGCAAATATGGTATTTTGCTGTGTATAATGTGCACCACATTTTTGGCCCAAACTTTCAGGGGAAAAAATCTTGCGTTTTAATTTTTTATCTCAAATTTTTATTTGTTTACATTTAGGTACTTTTTTGTATTATAAATGATTTTAGCATTTCTTTTTAACATATTATGGTACAAAAAATTTTATGTAACAAATAATTATGAACACGAACAGATACAAAGTATAAGAAATTTTATGTACCGGTAACAAATTTACAATATTTGCGCATCATTAAAGGCCAAGAACTCTTTGTCATTGCACGTTCATCATAAATTCAATAAAACAGATTATCATATTCCAGGGTATTATTTTGCATACGGATATCGTTATTGATTTCTAGAGTTACACTTTCAACTCATAAGCATAAATAAAAGAATTAAAAACATTATATATAGATACAAAATTAATACTACCCATGTGTAATGTGCATCCTTACTTTTCCCTCACAAATTTGGGCCCAAAAAAGGTGCATTATACTCTGCAAAATATGGTAGTTGTATTTGTTGCCTAGGGCTGCTATATCAGAGTACCATAAGTTGAATGGCTTAAAGCAACAAAATTTATTCTCTCAAAACTCTTGAGGATAGAACTCCAAAATCAAGGTGTCATCATGGCCATGCTCCCTCTGAAGGCTGTATGGAAGAATTCTTCCTTTCCTCTTCCTAGGTTGCCAGCAATTCTTGATATTCTTGCCTTGTAAAAGGCTGCATCACTCCAATCTCTTGCCTTCTTCTTCACATGGCCCTCTTCCCTCTGTATGTGTCCCCATCAGCTTCTCCCTTCTTATAAAAAGAGACCCACCCTAATCCAATATAACCTCATCTTAACTAATACATTTACAAATATCCTAGTTCCAAGTAAGGTCACATTCACAGTTATATGAGTGGGGGGTTAGAAGTTGGTATCAATTTAAGGGATACAATTTAACCCACAACAGTAGTTAAACTTCTCATGGAGTTCAAACTGGTTAGTGTGGTATACAATGTTTGTGTCTTTTGAACAACACAGTAGTAGTCCTCCCTTATCTGCGGTTTCACTTTCCTTGGTTTCAGTTAGTTACCCATGGTTAATTGTGGTCCAAAAATATTAAATGGAAGATTCCAAAAACAAACAATTCATAAATTTTAAATTGCACACCATCCTTAGTACTGTGATGAAATCTCACTCTGACCCATGCAGGAGGTAAATCATCCCTTTGTCCGGTGTATCCACTCTGTGTACACTCCCTGCCCTTTAGTCACTTAGTCGTCGTCTCAGTTATTAGATCAACTGTTGCTTATATTCAAGTCACCCTTACATTGCTTAATAATGGCCTCAAAGCACAAGCGCAGTGACTGGCAATTCGGATATGCCAAAGAGAAGCAGTAAGTGCTTTCTTTAAGTGAAAAGGTAAGTACAGTACAGTAAGATATTTTGAGAGAGACCACATTCACCTGACTTTTATTATGGTATATTGTTATAATTGTTCTATTTCGTAAGTTATTGATAATCTCTTACTGTTTCTAATTTATAAATTAAACTTTATCACAGGTATGTATAGGAAAAAACATAGTATATATAGTGTTCAGTACTGTCTGTGTTTTGGGGCATCAGCTGGAGGTCCTGGAACATAGTCCCCATAGATAAGGGGAAACTGCTGTATGCATTTCCTTTTTGTGTGTCTCAAGAATGGCTTTTGTTTAGCCTTGAATTTGTCTGTTCTTTTGTGCTAGGTTAAGCCTAGATTTGACACACGCAAACCAAACCAGCACCCCCATTTACTTTTCAGTTCACTCTAAGCTGGCTTTTGTTCTCAACCAACCTCTCTACCACTATCCACCAACAACTACTCTTTTCAAGTTCACCTCTTGACTTTTGCTTCCTTGGCCGTGACAGTACACTTTTGTGGGTTTATTCCTTCGTCACTGACTACTCCTCCATAGTTACCTTAGCTGGCAACTTTTCCTTTACCCAGTTTTCAGATTTTGCCTTTTTTCAGGGCTCTTGTCCCAGGATGTTTTTCTTTTCACTCTCTAGTCTTTCTTCATAACTATAATTTTATATCTTTAGTGCAGTTTACTTTTTTGTGCTCCACACTTATAAATAAATGGTCTTCATTTAGACATCTTATAGACATCAAACTTAATATCTTAAATTAAGCTCTTTGTTTCTTCTTCAACTTTGTTCTGCTCCTTCCTCCCAAATTTCTTATTTCGGTAAATGCTAGTATCATCCTCTGTACTGCCCAAGCAGGAATCCGGAAGTTATCTTTGATTCCTCTCCTTTTACTTACTATGCAAAATTCTGTCGACTTCTTGTCGATTCAATTCATTGTTACTGTACTAGTCGTGACCACTAACAGTTTTTAACTGGATATTATATTAGTCTCATAAAGTGTCTTTTTCCTTTTATTACCCATCTCCCTAGCACTTATTATCCTAGCACTAAGAATGGCCTTCTTAAAACATAAATCAGATCATGGTAATTTCTTACTTAAAATCTTTCCTCCGGCACCCTTCCTTTTTGCTCACTAGATTCCACTGAAACTTAGTTGTCTTTCACATTCTTCTTTGAGATGCAGACTAATAATCTCTTTGCTGCCTTAACACACTTTACAATGTGTTTCCCTCTACCAGTGCTTTTTTCTTCCCTATTTTGACTTGGCTAGTTCCTATTCCTCTCAATTTCAGCGTACGGTAAATGTCATTTCAACAAGACCTTCCCTAATCATGCTATCTAAAGTAGATCACCATATCCATCATCTCTGTCTCAGCCTTTTATTCCTCTCAGGGCATGTACCACAATTTGTAATTATTTGTCCCCCCAAAAGAATGTAAGCTCTGGAAGCAGAGAGCATGTCTGCCTCATTCACCAACGTATGCCTAGCACTTAACCTGCTGCCTAGAACATGATAACTATTCAACATTTACTTGTTAGATGAAACAAATACTGTTTCTTTGTTGGAGAAACAAAATACTGTCATTAACAAGCTTGTTGGATTGTATAAAGTGAGATTTTCACCCATAGTAGTCTTGAGTTGTTGCATGAATTTCAGCTACTTCTGAAGGGCTTTTGCGCTCTGGACTCCAATTAACATTGCTGAAGTGTGATATCCAAATTAAAGATAATTTAAAAACACCGTTGAATTTTAGGTGAGCTGTTATATATTGTGTATTTCATAAAGCATGTTCATTCAAAAAACATTTGTGAAAAGCAATGATGAGTTTTCTCTACTGCTAACAGTTGTTTAACATGAACTAATAGTGGCTTCTTTGTCATTTCTAATGTTGTACGGAACAGGATGCAGAAAACGCCATTCAACAGATGGGTGGCCAGTGGCTTGGTGGAAGACAAATCAGAACTAACTGGGCAACCCGAAAGCCTCCAGCTCCAAAGAGTACATATGAGTGTAGGTGTATTGGAGAAGAAAAGGAAATGTGGAATTTTGGAGGAAAATACACTAGATTTTAAAATGTTAGAGCTGTTCCCGGAGACTTATTGCAGAAATAGATGAGAAGCAAATCAAGACTACTGTTCAAAAATGTACTTAGTTTTCATTTTTGTAATTATAAATAATAAATGATACTATCTCTAATGTCAAGTCTCCTATTACATAGAAAATACCAAGTAATTTTTTAGACATTTTGGGGGGTGGTTTAACCTTCAATCAAATGTAATATGTATTATATAATCATTTTGGTTAAGGTAAATGTTACCATTACAGTAGTGTAGTTAATGCATTTCTCTTCTGAACATTTTATTTAATGAATTAAAAATATAAAACTTTCCATCCCCAGCAAACACCAAACAGCTATCATATGATGAGGTCGTAAATCAGTCCAGTCCAAGCAACTGTACTGTATACTGTGGAGGTGTCACTTCTGGGCTAACAGGTATGGGAGCTTTACCTGTGTGGCATCTTGAGATTAATTTTTAAACTGAAAAGCTTAATATTTGTAGAATTTTAATGTAACATAATGGGGTTTGTTTTTATTCTTTTCTAACAGAACAACTAATGCGTCAGACTTTTTCGCCATTTGGACAAATAATGGAAATTCGAGTCTTTCCAGATAAAGGATATTCATTTGTTCGGTAGGGATGTTTTTTGGTTTTTGTTGTGTTTTTTTTTATTTGCCACTGTTTTTGTGATAGCTCCCTTCTTCCAACACAAAGCCAGCAAAACATCTTCTATTAAAAGAAGTTTGTCCAAGGGCTGGCTGAGTGGCTCAGTTGGTTAAGAGCTCGCTCAAGAGAGTGAGCTCTGAGCAGCAGCAGTTTGATTCCTGGCCCGAGCTAAGCTGCCAACAGGTGACAGGCAGGATGGCTCAGCTAAAAAACAATAAAAAATAAAATAAAAAAGTTTCTCCAGAATTCTGGGAAAGATCTCTGGGGAAAAAAACAACAAAACAAAGAAAATATGCTATTTTATTGATTCTTTTTTATGAACTGCCTGATTCACCTTGATTTTTTTTTTTTTTAATTGGGGGATCGGGGGAGGGGAACAGCCAAGTTGTTGTCCTTCAATCTTAGTTGTGGCAGGCTCAGCAAGCTCAGCTCAAAGTGCTGTGTTCAGTTAGTTTTGGGTGGGCGTAGCCACCATCCCATGCAGAAGTCGAACCAGCAGCCTCATTGTTAAGAGAGCACACTCTAGTCACTGAGCCACCCGGGCGGTAGCTCAGCTCAAGGTGCTGAGTTCAGTCTTAGTTGCAGGTGGACGTAGCCCACCATCGAACCAGCAACCTTGTTAGGAACATGTGCTCTCACCAGGTGAGCTATCCTGCCACCTTTTGGCAGCTAAGTGGCAGCTCAGCTCGGGCGCAGCTCACTGGTCCATGTGGGAATTCAACCAGCAACCCTGTTGCTCAGAGCTTGCACTCTTGAGCAAGCTCTTAACCAACTGAGCCACTTGGCCGGCCCTTGATTTTTATAAATAGGTTTTATTCATAAGTATTTCAAACAATTTATATTGGTGTTCTTAATATTGTTTTCAATAGGTTCAATTCCCATGAAAGTGCAGCACATGCGATTGTTTCTGTTAATGGAACTACCATTGAAGGTCATGTTGTGAAATGCTATTGGGGCAAAGAAACTCTTGATATGATAAATCCCGTGCAACAGGTGAGAGGGTTATTGACTTTGCAAAGTAATTTCTAGGCTAATACTAATAATAAAGTTATTTTAAAATGAAATTGCTGCTAGTCCTTGTTAATAACTTGCTAGTTCCTACTAAAAAGATAGGATAGAGAAGGGGCGGGGTTTGGGAACTGAATCTGGAAATGGTCCCAGAAGCCGGGGAAGAGAAAGCCTTGGACTGGCTAACCCTCTGGGCTGGTGCTGGCCAACCTGCAGCCAGACTAACCAGCATGAGGAAATGCTGCGGGCTCTGCCAAAAGTCTGAGAGGAGAAAGTGGCTGCTGTAAATGTTTCCTTGAGGCAGCAGACATCTGCCGAGGGTATGCGTTCTCCTGCTAACCAGGCTCTGGTCTGTCTCTGCCTGGATGGGGCCCACAGCCTGGATTGAAGGCATGACTCTTGGGGCCTCCAGCTCCCTCCTGCCTGGCCCACAAAAGGCATCACAAAGAGGATACAGAGGGCGTGTTTGGGGTCTCTGAAGAAATAAATAACGGCAAAATTTAAAAAAAAAAAAGATAGGATAAAAGGGCCCTTCCTACATGGTTCAGGTTCAGCGTGGTGGGTCATGGATTGCTGTGGTGATAAGGTGAATGTGACCGCCTCAATTGACTCACACAGTGGATTTTTAAATGCTCTGACAAACTTTTATTAAATTTTGTCTTAATACTTGGTAGATTTATTCACATAATATTTGGAGAACTCACAAGTATGGTTGACTCAACTGAAACAAAAATACAGCTATATTTATGTTTAGGGCCTTGGCAGTTTTTCCAGTTTCTTCCAGATTTTGCACCTTTTGTTTTTCCAGGCAGCTTTAATGGTTAACTTGATCCCACAAAGATTTCTTTGAGGAAATTGTAAACAGAGCACCAAAATAGGAATAAGAAAATCCTAAACTATAATAAGTTTCATAAGTAAACTGAATATAGGAATAAATAATCTTTATGTCTTCCTTATCCAAAGGAAACATAGTTTCCAAAACATGGATAGTTTAAAAAATACTTATACTGAGTTCAGTATTTATTACTAGGGCAGTATTTACTGCTTTACAAAGAATATGCCATTCAGAACATCGCATAAAGTTACAGCAATATAACCCTACTTTTTTTTTTTAGCTGTCACTTTCTAAATTATTTATCCTTTCATTTTAATTGTAATGATGGCCCTATGTGTTATGGCTGTGTATTTGTGGTATATTAGGTATCTGTGGTATATTAGGACATATAACTTCAAATAATAATTACCTGTTACAATTTTACTTAATAGCAGAATCAAATCGGATATCCACAAGCTTACGGCCAGTGGGGCCAGTGGTATGGAAACGCACAGCAAATTGGCCAGTATATGCCTAACGGTTGGCAGGTACCAGCATATGGAATGTATGGCCAGGCATGGAACCAGCAGGGATTTAAGTAAGCATATTGGCTCTTTTACCTTAATAGTAGCCTTTGAAAATGTCAAGAAGTTAGCAAGAGATTTTAAAATTATTAGGTAATGTGGCCCTCTTTCTAAAGCATAGCTGGAGCTTTTGAAGGACTTAGGTTAGAGTAGTTTTTAATTTATGGTTTTAAGGGTATCTCTTCAAAAATTTGCCTAGAAATATGCTGCCTTGAAGTATAACCAGCATGACATTTGGTAATGAAGCGACTAATATTTAAGTAAGACAATAAGAGCTTAATAGTTAAGCTTTTTATATGACTAGTGCTCACTTGAATACAGTTATTTTGTTGCTAGTGTTTTATTCATTCTGCTTTTTTTCTGTGCAAAAGTTTATTCAGACATTGTTACTTGGAAGCTTTTTTTATGTACTCTGAATTATTCAATTTTACTTAAACTTTTGAAAAACAAACGAAATTAACAGACTTTGCAGTTTTTATTTTATAAGAATCTTTTTAAATTATTATTATTTGTTTTATTGTTAGTTTCAAGTGTACAGAACAATGCAATAGTTATCCGTTTCACCCCTCACAAAGTGACAACCCTCCTCTCCCCATCCACTGCCCACTCACCCCCGATATCATACTTATCTATTACAATTCCATTGACTCCATTCCCACACTATACTTCACAACCCATGACTAGATGTGTATTAACGTATAGTTGACATATAATATTATTCAACAGCAGCTTCAGATGTACAGTGCAGTGGTCAGGCCTCTACACTGTCCATGAAGTAGTCTCCCTAACAAGACATGAAAAGGACGAGTCCCTTTCTGCCACTGGGCATCCAGTCTTCACCCTTCTTTCCTCTTTCCATGGCAGTCTTTGGACATCCACCTGACTTTATTGCCTGAGAGGTTTATAATACTTAGCACAGCTTTCTCCACAGCCTGCTAATATAATTATGATTGTTATCTTCTCCTTATGTTTATGATTGTTATCTTTCTCCTTATTCTCCCTTTTATGAGGTGAAAACCTCTGGTAGAAATATGTGACAGAGCATGTGCGTTTTCTTCCTCTCAGAAGAATCTTTTTTTTAATTGTATTTATAATGTTGAAAAAATTTGACCTTACATATGCTAATAATTGTTTAATTTCTTCTTTGAGTAATATAAATGCTAGTCTTCATCATACCAAATGGTCAAATTTATTTCCATTAGTGGCTTATTCAACATATGTCCAAGCCAGATGGACAGTATTCCTTCCTGAGATGAAAAATGAGGTTTTTTTCTGAGTTCAAAAGGGATAAATTTTTACAGGTTAAGGGTATTTTCTTAGCTATAATTAAACTAACAAAATTAAACTGCACAAATTAAAACCTGTAAGGATGCTTGTTTTTTAGAGAAATAACTTTGCCCTTGCTTTCCTTAGCATAACAATTCTTATATTTGGGCTTAATAAAAAGTATATTTTCCCTGTGTATGTTATTTGTTCTTGGCTTTACATTTTATTTTAATCAGTGGAATTCCCCTCCCCTCTGCTTCTTTCACATTCTCTACCAGTCAGACACAGTCTTCTGCACCGTGGATGGGACCAAATTATGGAGTGCAGCCTCCTCCAGGACAGAATGGCAGCATGTTGCCTAATCAGCCTGCAGGGTATCGAGTGGCAGGGTATGAAACCCAGTGAAAAAGGACTCCAGAATCTAAAGCCAGTGGCTTGAGGCTACAGGGAGTATAGTAAAGCCGTTGTTTACTTAAAGATTATCAAATCAGTCAGTGCAAATGTCAGATACAATGTATTTATTTAAAAGATTCATTTTTTTAATCATGAAATTACTTATCCATGTTGTTTTAAAAAGAACAAGATGCTGGATGTCTGCCAATTTTTGCCTTCATTACCTTTTTTGATAAAGTTTCTCAGATCCTTGTTTCAAATACAAATGCAGGGATTGCTGCCACTTTTTTAAAATTAAGAGGCAGAAAATTGCACAATGTTGAACTTTTTTCCACTAAAGTAGTGTGCAGTTCTAGTTTGCATTCCTAATATGATTTCAAACATGTAATATAAAGATGTAACAAAAACAAAAACGAAAAACCAAAACTGTGCAGGGTCTAGAAGTTCTTTGTAATCTTCAGCTTGTGCACAATTGTATTTTAGGGTTTTTTTAAAGGTATTGTCTGAACTATCCCATCTTCACTGTTAAAAACTCCCTTTGGGGATTTTTAAATATAAATTATTAGTTTACATCATTTTTGTATCTACATTTTTTCACAAATTTGTCTTGCCTTATTAAAGTTCTGTAAAATATACTTAAACGGAAAAAAATTATTTCACTTAGATTGAAAACTTTTCTCAGATGGATTGATAATTGCATTCATCTTGTGTTTTATATGAGAAGGTGCCTCAAGAATTCCCTGTTGACTTTGTTTAAAAGGACTTTTATCTTCTGTGATAAATTTTGCTGTGTGCCAGGAAATATAAAAACAAAAACTTGTTACTAAAGAAAATCTCTGAAATGTGATAAGTTCTTATGAACCCGTGCTAATTTCATGTGTCAACTTCTACATTTATATGTATTATTTCATTATGTAAAATGTTTTAGCAATTTAATATTTTGCACAGTTAGCAAACTTTGTATGTCATTTCCTTCTTAAAGGTATCATACCGAGTTGACAGGAGATTTAGAAGGTTTTAAGTTTGCATGTTAATATCAAATACACACTTTGGTAGTTTTTAAATACAAAGTCATCTGCTCTTTGTTTTTCAAGATTTTTGAGACAAAGTTGTATGTAAAGGAATATATTAATTGCCATTTTCTAGTTTATATTTACTCAGAAAGAGTAAATCAACTTAATTTTAATATGTACAAAGGATAGCTGTGAAACTGTAGAATAACCTTATGTCAGGCTTGGGGTTCATTGTGAACTCCAAAATTAGCCTGAAGGACCAGCCGGGCAAAGCATTTTTTAAATGTTCAGAGGCCAAAAGATAAACACAAAAAAAAAACCCTTAAAATCCTACCTCCTTAAACAGCCTTCAAAGAGGAGACTCCTCAGTGCAATCACTATTTTGATTCTTTTGGTACCTATTTTCCTGGAGTTCCCAATTTTACTATTTTGGGATGGCTCCAAGCATTAAGAGGCTTAATCTTTGATGGCATTGTTCTAGTTTTAAATTTTCTAGTACATTTCAGTGTCTCTTAGAAGAGTTATGGGAAATTTTGTTTTCTTTTCAGTGAAAGTCACAAACTCCCTTCTTCCTTGACTCATAAAGGGGAAAGGGTCCCCAGTATACATATTTGGACGGTCATTTGTTTTTAAGACCTTCAGAGAGCTCCTAGCATTTTATTTAAAAAGAGAAAAGGCCTGTGAAATCTTAGAGTTTCCTGGCCTGTATCTTCCAAGTAGGAGCAAATGACTCTAAACTGGTCTCTAAGCCAATACTCCTATAAACCAGAGCTCAGGAAGGACAACACATAAGTAAATAATTCTCTGGAGCTCTATTCTATGCAGTTGTACTGATGTTTCATTAAGTCACTGTGTATTTTTAAGTGTTGCTACATTAAAAGTTGTTTTATGGAAGATGAGTAAATTTTTTAACTACTTGGAAATTTTATTTCCTTGTTAACTTCTACAGATCAGGGCATGCAACCAAAAGCAGCTTAAATGAGATACTCAAAAAAATAAAATACCAGGAAGCTATTTTTAGATTCTTGTAGCTCATGTTTCTATTTTAGGACCCTCATTTTTCTCTGATTCAGAAATATTTTATTTACCATACATCTTTGGACTGCAGGGTAAATTATTTGGCATAAATAATTTAAACAAAAGTATGGTTTTTCTTTCATTTTGACTATCTCAAATAATACCACTTTTTATTAGCCAGTATATTTTCTTGCACAAATCTGAAAATGTACATTGACTACTTTTTGAAAAGAAAGTGGTATTTACTATTCATGATGAAAAGGTTACTACTGAACAAATTCGTATTTCAGGAACATTGCTAACTTTGATTTTAATCTTACTCTTAGTGTTAAAACAGATCATTTAAAGGTTTTCAGGCTAAACATACTGGCATTGGTATCAGGTAAGGAAATTCAGTTTTTAAAATGGTTTCATTATCTGCGATATGCATTCAGATTTTACTTTAAAATACATCTGGTACTGTAAAGAACCTGAAGTGATTCACACTTACTGGGTCATTAATCCAGTATTCTTTGCCCTGACTGTTTGGATATTAAAGTTCCTTTATCTTTTCTATAACCTGTGGGATCTTCTTGTAGTGATTATTGTGTGAGAGATTTTTATTTTTTCCTGGTCTAGCCATTTCATTCTATTCATTCAGATATTTTGTTGGATTTTTAAAAATCTTATTCCAGAAACCATGGTTTGTATTGGGCTACTGTTTGATACCACAAAGAATTAGAATTCTCTAGATTTAACTCATTGTGAAACCAGGATCTTATTTTCCTTGTTGATATTATCTCCCTATTGAAAAATAAGATTCGCATCATAGTTTTATTCTTCTGTTTCGTCCCTATGCTTGCTCATCTTCCTTCTTGTATGTGTGTGAGAGTTTCGTTACATTTGACAAGGTAGTTGATAGGAATAGATCGCATATACAAAGAGAGGTTTACTAAGCACTGTCGGGTGCTCTTGAGGTCACAGTTGAGTGGAAAAAATAAAATGTGTTTATAGGAAATAAAAAGGAAACCCTTTCAATGAAAAAGTGATGGTTTCTAAGAACAAGTCTTCTTTTTTCTTCGGGGGTTATTCGTGGGGGGTTATTACATTTTTCTCCAGTCATTACATTTTATTGCTGTGTTTAGAACTTGAAGAATATACCTCCAAAACAACAAATTTTAATTTAAGAGCCTTAATAAAATATATGTGAAGGTCTCAATAGGATTTTATATTATGGCCTCTAAAGTTGGAGGCTGAAATTATTCTGATAGTAGTTCAACTAAAAAAGGAAAAAGTAGATGTCTGACTCAGGGTTACTAGGCCTTGGGTGAGATGCTATACAGAAAATAGGGATTAAGCACAATTTTATATACTGGATAAATGAAGTTCCCAGCTCCTTGTTCAGCTCTAGAATACAAACAGCCCCACGAAAACACACCAGGCAGGACGTGGGGAATCCTTCTGTGAAAGACTGAACTCTATAGAGAAAAATGCTGACATTTGAGGGTCCCCACCAAAAAGCCAACTGGCCGCCCTTCCCATGTACACATATCTTCCAAACAGGTTTTTAGTGCTTTACTTTTAAATAAAGATAACCAGAGATCACCATAAATTGAGAAAAACTTTGATTGTGAAAGGTAGATCTAAACAAAGGAATTCTCAAGAATTAGAAAACTTCTGAAAACTGAAATAAAACATACTGTATTCAAGAAATTAGGATACCAGTAAAATTTTAGCCCTAAAATAGGAATACATTTAGTGAGAATATTAAAAGACATTTTCTAGAAACAGAAATCAGAAGTAAAGGGGGGAAAAAATTAATATGGATCAATTTGGGAGGTTTAATATACAACCAATAGGAGTTCCAGGAAAAGACCTGAGAAAATAAGGGAGTGGGTAGAATTTATTAGATAATAAATTTTCCCTAATAAAATGGTTCTTAAGATTGTAAAAAGGCAAATATTGAATTAGCACAATAAATATAAAACACCCATACAAAGGCATACCACCATGCAATTTTAGACAGACATAGAACAGAATATTCTAAAATTTACCAGGTAGCCAAAGGTTTGAGAATAGTAACAAAAACATTGGAAACCGAGGATCAATAGGGTACTGTCTTCAAAAGTTTGAATTATCTCTCCAATTACACTGTCAAGGTGACAACAAAATAGCATTTTTAGACATACAAGTTCTCAAAAGATTTTCTAACTGTTCACTGTTTCTCATCTACTGGATACACTCCCATCAGAACAAGAATGTAAATCAAGAAATAGTGTGATGTACTGTCTAGAAACAGGATCCAACACAAGTAAAATAAAAGGAGGTCCCAGAATAACAGCTATGAAGTGACTTGGTACCCAGTTCAGATTGATGTTCAGAAGGTTAGACTTGATTATCAGACAAGTTGAGTTATGCAGATAAATTGTATAGTACTGAGGATGTGAAAAGACAAATACTGGAAGAAAATCAGACAGAAAATTGTCAGGAAAAACACTACAAGAAAGGAAACCTTCCCTTCCTGAGCCAAGTACATGTATGTACTAAGATAATATTTCAGAAGTTTTCCTGAATTGTAAATATTTGTGCTATTCCACTGGTTTGTCTTTGGTAACTCCAGTTGTATGTTGGATCTCTGCCTATCATTTGTTCTTAATTATTTTTATCTTTTTTGCTTTTCTCATTTCTAGTCTCTTCCTTACTGTGCTTCCTGTGGTTTGTGTTCCTTTTTGTCTTCATTTTTTAAATGCTTTTCTCTTTTTGTTTCCTAAGTGCTACCAATTTCTCTTTCACTTTAGGGACATCTCTTCCCTGAATTCTTGTAAATGTCTTAGCTGCATATGCTTCATTAGATTTTTTTAAATTCACATCGGAATGTCAATACATTATTTTCAACTGCTTTGTGGGAACATTTTTCTTGTGATTCTTCTCCAAGGAAACTAGGTAAGTTTTGTTACTCTTTCCCACTTTTATTTATTTATTTTTCTTTTTTTAGGATTAGGGTTAGGGTTGTTTTTATTGTTAGGGTTAGGGTTAGGGACAGGCTTAGGGACAAGGTTAGGGTTAGGTTGGGTTAGTGTTAGAGTTTGGGTTAGGGATAGAGTCCTTCCCACTTTGAATTAGAATACCTTTGCTGTGCTATTCCTATTCATATTTCAAACAGTTGAACTTTCCTAGACCGAGTATCAGCAAGAGAGGGAAGGGACCCTGTCTAGGGTTTTCATCTCTGTCCTGTGCCTACAACGAATTATCTCTAAAAGTGTAGCCATGAGTCCTGTTTTGGGATGTGATCTTGTTCAGAAGGATCGTGTGCCAACTCTGAGCTCCCCTGGTTCCTTCATCTGCTACAATAAGGGACCTAACGCCTTCCTTTCAAAGGGAATCCCCTAACTTGCTTTCTGAAAGCATCTCTAGACATCCCCATCCCCTACCCCCAGGTACTTCATACACTTCCCTTCTTTCCCAGCTTTCACACACTTGTTCAGTCCTCACAGTAGAACCCATTCTAGGTTTGGCTCTTCTCGGAATGAATATTTGCTGGTGATTTCTGAAATCTGCCACCACCAGCCCCCTCCTCACCCCATTCTTAACCCACTGCACTCCATTGGCCTCCCATTCTGGACCACACTTTTACTCAATGTGGAATTCGTAAGTTTTTCTCTGCCTCCCTAGTTTCACATAAGATACTGCTTGTGGGGGTCAGCGGTCACGTTTTCCTTTTGCGCTCTGATTTCCAGAAGAAGGAAAGATCCAGAACTATGCTGCTAACAACTTTGTACCAGAACCAGAAGCACAAAGGAATCTTATCAAACCTGTAAATCTGATGATGACACTCCCCTGCTTGAAAGTTTTGGTTTGCTTCAAATTGCATTTAGGAGGTAATCTAAAATCTTTTAAAGTGTAACCTGTACTTAACCAACTGCACAGCAAGCAATTCTCCATTCTCCCAATAAGCCCTACTCCACGCTCATCTTTCAGTTTTTTGAATAAGGAAACACTTTTTATGTCAGGGTCCAGTCAAGAGACAGACCAACACTAAAATTTGAAAAGGGAAATTTTAATGTAAATGGTTAAATAGTAACTAAGGTGATTAATTACTAAAAGGGATCCAGAAGTTGCAAAAAAGCAGCTACTAGTTAGAGTGGCCAATGAAGGAACTATGGGTTTAGGGGGACCTGGACTGAGATTCTGACCTCTTTAAAGAAGGCTTGATTACCACGGGAATGGACAGCCTGCTGAAACATGCCAGAGGGCGAGGGCCATAGCTGCTCTATAGGAATGGTCCAACGGGGGGACACAGCCAGGATTCCCAGATTGAGCAATGAAAACAATCCCAAATACTGCATGGAACCCACTAAATTACTCATTTTTTTAACTGAAATTCAAATTTAACTGGTTGTCCTGTATTTTATCTGTCATGTTCTAGAGACAGTTGCAGGCTGACAGCCAAAGCTGCCATGGAAGCGGCTGCAGGTGGGGAGAGAGTGGCCTGATGGGGCAGCGAGGGCAGGTCCTATGGACTACTGAGGGAAACCACTGGGTCGACCATACACTGACCCACTGGCTCCCATATTGAATAAAAGAATCAGAATTCCCAAGGGAAGTGCCTCCCCATCACCATCACCTTGCATTGTTCCCCGAGCTCCCTCTATTGACAATGCCTAACATTGAGCCAATGGGCAAAGGAGGGTGGACTGGGGACAGACCCAGGGCCGCGCCACCTGAAAACCTTTTGCCTGCCATTTGTCTTAAACGCTCTGCTTAAATGTCACTTCCTCTAAAAGGCCTTCCTTTTTTTACCCACAATCTAAATCAATAGCCTCTCAAACTACCTTACACTTTTCCTTTATAGCATTTGTCTTCATGTAACTATATATTTGTGTGATTATATCTTTAAAACCTGTGTTCCCCACCATACTAAAGGCTGGTGACTGTTTCCTTCAATGCTGTATATGTCTAGTACATGGCAAATAATAGGTGCTCAATACATGTTTGTTGAATCAATTGTTACCTCAAACAATCTGGTTTTGATCAAATGGATTTCTACCATGTGCTGATAGTATGACTGGCTAGAGTACTGGCTGTGAAGTGAAGAACAAAAACTAAAGGACTAAATCAGGGCCAATTCTTTATACCATGCCAAATAACTTGAACTTTTTTCATCCTAAAAGTCCTACGGAGCCATTGATCTATTGATCTAATTTGTGTTTAGCCAAGATGTCTCCCAGGTTCCTGGTTTGAGCAGTTGGATGGATGGGGGTGGGGGTGGGGATGGGGGTAGTTACTGGGGTGGAAAAATGAAGAGGAGCAGTTTGTAAGGATGACTAAGGACAGGAGCTGGTTAGAGGGCAGGAGATGAGAGCTGATGAGTCCATCATTGACAATGTGGAGCCTGGACATGTGTGACATTCGTAGAAGTATCCAGTAGGTAATGACTGGGAATTCAGAAGGGAGATCCAGGCTGGATATACAGAGGGGACTCATCAGCATTGAGGTGATAGTTAACCCATGGAGTGTAAATCACCCAGAGAGAGGCTAGATTGAGAAGAACAGGTGCATCAGTGTTTATGGGGGCAGAGACAAGCGTGCAAGGGAGAATGAGAAAGAGCTGCCTGACAGAAATACAGAGGGTCTGTGATGTTGCAGAAATCAAGGAGGAAAAAGTTCAACGAAACAGTAGTCAAGAGTATCAAATACTGCAGAGAGGAAAAAATACAAGAAGTTATGGAGGAAAAAGTCCACTGGATTTAGCAATAAGGAAGTAACTGGTGACTAAAGTGAGCATTTTCAGTGAAGTGGGAGCAGACTGGACTGCGGTAGGTTTTAAGGAGTGGGAGGTGAAGACAGTTAACTAGCAAGGACTGCCTTCCCAGCTCATTTCGCTATAGAGAGACAAGGAGAGGAAAAATGAGTTTAAGAAAGCAATTGTTTAAATTGCAATACAACAAACAATAAATCACAAAAGGAAATGACCACCCAAAAAGCAACACAATTAAACCATTCAAACAACGTTTCACCTTATATAGGGAAAAAATGGAACTACAGTTAAAGAATGCAGAGAAATACTGTTTCTCTAGGATACTTAGAAATTGAACAATGGGTTAAAGAAAGAAATGGGAGTTGTCAAGATTGTATTATATGTTGTCAAATTGCCCTCTTAAAAGACTGTACCATTTACACACCAACCCGTAAAGTCAGAATACTCATTTCCCCCACCTTTACCAATGTTGAATGTCACTAAGCTTTTATATTTGCCAATCTGATGCATGTAAAATGATCTCTTTAATTGTATTCCCCTAATTGCAAGTAAAGTTATTCATTTTTTCCCGTAATTGGCTGTTTGTATTTATTTTCTGTGAATTGTCCATATCCTTTGTCCATTTCTTGATTATTTGATTTTTTTTTTCAATTAGTAGGAATCCCTATGTAGTTTGGATACTCAAATCCTCTCTAGAAGAATGTATCCTCCAACAGGCCCTTTAGAATTACCTCAGATTGAAATCATCAGCTGGGAGCTCACAATCAAAAACTTTCGAACACATGAGGAAGCAACCTACAAGGGACTCAGCAGAAACAAAGAACAGCAGACAGAATATGACCTCCAGGGACTTTAGACATAACAATCATATTGAGTATGTAATAACTAAATTTCATGTCTTTAAAAATAAAAGATGCAATAAAAATACGAGAAAGGAACAATGAGGCAGTATCTTAAAAGAAACTAACAGAACCTCTTGAAATTAAAAATATATCTGAGGGCCGGCCAAGTGGCGCGATGGTTAAGAGCTGGCTTGGGACGCCAGAGGGCCCCAGTTCGGATCCCACACGAGGGCCAGTGATAAAGAGTATTACAATTTTAATACAGTTTTTTTCTTTCTTAAAATGTGTATACATTTTTTTTTGGCACCTTCTGTACTCTGTGATTCCAACAATATAACCTGGGAAAGGTAAAACTATGAACACAGTAAAAGGATCAGTGGTTTCAATGGTGTTAGAAGGGAGAGGGGGATGAATAGGTGGAGCACAGAAGATTTTTAGGGCAGTAAAACTATTCTGTATGATACTGTAATGGTGGGAACATGTCATTACACATTTGTCAAAACCCATAGAATATACAATACCAAGAAGGAACCCTAATGTAAACTACAGATTTTAGGTGATAATGATGTGTCAGTATAGGGACATCGATTGTAACAAATGTACCACAGCCATGCAGGATGCCATTCATAGGAAAGGTTTTATGTGGGACAGAACGTATTTGGTCACTGTCTGTACTTTCTGCTCAATTTTGATGTGAACCTACAACTGTTCTAAAACATAAAACTCATTATTTTTAAAAAAGATAAGACCAAGAACAATTACTTATACTTGAAAACAAACAAAATAAATGATTTCCAGGGGGAGGGGGAAAATAACTAAAAAACTACATCAAAAAGAAATAGAAGGGCCAGCCGAGTGGCGCGATGGTTAAGAACTGGCTTGGGACACCAGAGGGCCCCGGTTCGGATCCCACATATGAGGGCCAGTGACACTGCCTTCCACAGCTAAGATGCTGAACAACAGCTCAACCTGGAGCTGGGCTGCCCTGCGTCGCCAGCACCGGCGACGGTGTAGACTGCGGTCCCTGTGGCAGTGGGTTGCCATGGGCTACCGTGTGTAGCCAGCAGCCGCAGTGAGCGACCGTCCAGAGACGGCGACTGATCTGCCTCGCCCGGGAAGAGCACAATGATGGTGCCAACTTGGGCCAGTGAAGCAATGTCCTCCACAACTAGACAAGAACAAAACGACAGCAACTTGTCTGTTCCCCTACCCCCAATTCCCCAGCGCTGTTCCCATCCCCCCAATTCCCCAATTTAAAAAAAAAAATCTTAAAAAAAAAAAAATAGAAGACCTCAATAGTTGAATACCCATCAAAGAATTCAAAGCAGTAGTTTAAAATCTGCACAGCAAAAAACAAAACTACCACCAACATGCCCCAAAATACAGGCACAAATACATTTAGAAGTGAGCTCTACCACTGTATCAGTAAAACCATAACATTTTCCTGAGAACAGGAGAGAATAATCTTAAAGTTATTTTATGAAGCCCATAAGCCTTGAAACCAAAACACAAGAAAAGTAAGAAAATGGAAAAATCACAAGCCACCTAACTTCACTAATGATAACATGATGGCATCTGTTGGGAGTCTGATTCACAAAAATCCGAGTATCTCAAAAAATTGGGACAGATTATCCATTAAGCTAGACTATCCATTGTGGGAAGATTTTATTTCTCCAGACTGTTAAACTTAGGCATGACCACATGATTTGATTTGTCTAAAAAAAAAAAAAAATGAAAGTGATCTGGGATATAAGAGCCAGTATGTCTTTGCCATAGTTGCCAAGAGTGTTTCCAGATAGTATTCTGCCAGCCTGGGTGCTGGAGCAAGGAAGATAATGAAGGACAGAGTCCAGCTGATTTAAGGTTGTTGACTTTAAATAAACAATGAGGTATGTTGTTTTAAGCCACATAGATTTGAGGGTTGTTTGTCACTAGTAGGGTCTAGCCTATATTAATAGAGCTGTGCAATGGAATAGTTTGTAGTCATTAACCAGAATGAGGTACAACAACATGTACTGACTTAGAAATATGAGCACGGTATAGTAAGTGAAGAAAGCAAGTTGCAGAAAAAATGTAGCATTTGTCTTTGAAAGTGATAAAAGGTGGTTGAAAACAATACTTTTGAACATAAACATCTTTCTTCTAAGATAATTATCATAAAAGCTAGCCTTGTGCAAATGGGAAAACCCTAGAAACATTCTCCTTCACGTCAGGAAGACAAGATTATCCACTATTACATATTAATTAATACTCTGAACCTATGACAATTAGAAAAAACTATAAAAACAATGAGAGAATTCAGAAAAGTGGCTGGGTAAAAAATATTAACATACTGAAAATTAACATACCATAGATTACTTGTATGCGTTTTGGAATTCCCACATTTTTTCGTTATTGGTTTCTCACTTAATTTCTTTATGGTCAGAAAACATATAGTACTATCTTTTTTTGGGGGGTGGGTTTCATAGAAATGCTGGTTGTTATGAGGCTTAAATGGATAAAAATGGAAAGCATTCAGCACAAAGCATGCAATATTGCTAAGTGCTTGATATGTAGTCACTGCTATTATTTTTCATATCCTGATTTGTCACATAGTTGGAGCTTTTAAAACATTGCTTCTCTAACATTTACATTTCCTTGGAGTAGTATAATAATCATATTATTACAAAACATCTTGATGCCAGGGAGTCTCACTGTGAATTAATAGCTTGACCCAGGCATCACAACAAAAATTTACCTCAAGGCTGAAATGATGTTGAGAATAGGGAAAGAAGGTGTACTGTGTCAAACTATAACTTGAGAGTATTATTACATTCTGAGAGTTCTATTTATAAGAAGAGGTCTCAGAAAGGACTTTTATGATGGCAATGCTTCTTCCAAGGCGCTTTGAAGAAGGAATTAGAACCCTGAGTGTTTGGATTGGAAGAGAGAAACCTCTTTTAGAATGGGGTGGATTGATAGCTGCCTTCCTGACTAGAGCATATACGAGTAAAGTGTCTGAAGTGAAAATCCACAGATCTCTTAGGACGAATTTGGGCAATTCCATTGAAAAAAAGCTCAACATTCTCTTTACAACAAAATCTCTCAATTTTAGCTCTATTGACATTTTGGGCCAGATAATTCTTTGTTGTGAGGGCTGTCCTTTGCATTTAACATCCATGGTGTCTACTCACTAGATGCCAGTAGCAGTGCTCCCAGCTGAGTACTTCAGATAACCACTAGGCCCCAGCTCAATCATAAGCGTTACCAGGCATTGAGACCCACAGTATTGTTTGAAGGTAATCATCAGGATCATCCAGGATATGCTGATGATCATTTTAAAAACTTTTAATTGAAATGGAAAGACGAAATTTGAAAAATCTGGAAGAAGTGTGCCCTTTTCCTCCTTCCTCGTTTAAGAAACAACATAAACCTTAGTCCTGGAAAGGACCATTTTCCCAGGCAACACGCCTACTGCACCACCACTAGTAAGTAGCAGGATCAGGGCCAAAGGTGCAGGAAACCTCCCCACACACACACACAGCCCTCACCCTTAACACATCGCACTTCAATCATGAATAATGAGCATTTAGATTTATTCTGTGTAATTCCAAAGACCTGAACTAGTACACACAGGAAGCCGCTTTCAATTCACTAAGTTAAAGTAATAATCCAGAGTGTAGTTAAGGGAGAAAAAGATAACTTGATACAAACACAAAAGTGATAGAAACAGCGCATACTTTCGTGGAGGAGATCTCCTTTGACGAAACGCAAAGTCGCAGCCGATATCTGCTAATAATGTATTACAGAAAATATAAGGCGATGTTTGCATCAATTACCAATGTAACTCGACTCAGAAATAGGGCTCTCTCGGGCCTGAAAACAGTCATGTCCAGCCCTCGAGCTGTGTCAACGCCTTCCGCATCGGCAGGGTTGGCCAGAAGCACTCCAGCCCCAGTGAAGAACCTGAGCGCTGCAGCTGCCAGGTAACCGCAGATTTCTACAACCGGATTCCGCCGAAGCAATTCTCAGCAGCCTCTGGAAGTACGAAACTACAATTCCCATCAGACAACGCGAGTTGAGGTGGGCGGGCACTCGCCGCGCGTGGGCGGCCCTGACCAATAACGACTGTCGTTACAGCGAACAGTTTGGCCGCGTTTGTAAAAGACTGCAGCAGGCGAAGAGAGAGGAGGTGAGGGCGGTCATCAGCGTGGGGCCCTGGGGCCACGGGGGAGGCGCAGGGCAGGTAAGGACGACGTGTTGACAGAAGGCGGGGTTGGTGGTGGGACAAGGGTGTAGAGCTGGGAATCCCGACGGAGAGCGTATCCATGGCGCAGGCTGCCAGCCAGGTGATGCTTCTGCTTGGGCCTACTTAAGACCGGAAGTGAGCCGTCGCGCGGGGAGGATGCCGGGAAGCAGGTCCCGGATGGTGTGTCTGGGGCGGACTGGGTCCCGGAAGCCAGGCCGGAGATGCGCGTTCCGCAATCCCGGTCCCCAGACGTATTTCCGCCTTGCCCTCGGGGACTCTGCGACATTCCTTGGCTGCGTAGGGCAAATGGAAGCTCCCTGGACCAGGATTCGAGAGTTCTGGCTTCTAGTCCTCCCCCTTCTTCTCACTTGTGGTTTGACAAGGAATCCAGCAGATTCCAAACTCACGTTAGATTATCTGGGGCTGGCTGTGCGACATTCACCAAATCATTACTCTCTTTAAGCCCATTTCTTCATGTCTAAAGATGAGTAAAATATTATAGTACCTCTTGTCTGATCACGGTGAGCAATGCATGAATAAATACATGGGAAGGGCTTATTTGTACTCAGTAAACGTTAGCACATTTAATGTTTTATTCATAATGATTATTCGTTGTCTTTGCTGACTGCTTCACAAGCATTAAACAGCATCCACCAAACCGTATAGCTCTTCAGCCAAGTAGCAGCTCCATGAAAACCCACCACGTCCAGGGAGCATTCATAGGTTAGCTCTTCCAGCACCAGTCCCTGTACACCGTGGTGCGCAGAACTCCCTTTTTCAGGCAGGATTCAAATACAGGTTCTTTACAAGTTGTGGTACTTCTTTGTATATGCCTTCGATATAGACTGTAGTGACTAGTACATGTTTAAAATTCAAATATTAGAAAACAATAAAATGTAGGCCTCCCACTTTTATTTCCCAAGTCCCAGGTCACTTCTTGAGGCAATAGAGATCATTCTGTTTGTATGTGTGTGTGTGTATGTATCTTCCCCGTCTTTTTTTAAATCAAGAGTATCCTACATGAAGTGCTACATCTTTTTTCACTCCACAGCGTATCTTGATACTTGTTCTCTATCAATACATGTAGGCCTGTCTGATTCTTTTTAGTGGCTTTGTATTGGCCTATTGTATGGTTACACCATAATCTAGTCAGCTCTTAGACTGCTTCTATTCCTGTGCAATTATGAGTAACCCTGCGTGGAGCACCCTTGTACATACTTGATGTACATGTGAGAATAAAACTCATGAAATCTTAAAAGTGGAATTGCTAAGTCAAAATATGTATTTAACATTTATTTTATTTACAAAATAAATGTTGCCCTTTACACTCCCACCCACAATGTACAGTCCCTATTTCTCCACATCCTCATAAATAAACACAATAGTAACATTTATCTTTTTTTGTCAGCTTGCCAAAGTATTGTCCTGTTTTCATTTGCCTCTTATTGTAAGGTTGAATTTTGGATGTTTAAAATAATTTTTCTTTTTTCTTTTTTCATAAGCTGTCTTTTCATGCCCTTCACTCATTTTTGTAGTGGGCTTTTTTTTATTACTGATTTATAAAAACAGGAAATCAGCTCTTTGTCATTTGAATCCAAATATTTTCCTTCTGTTTTTTAATGACAACTTTATTGAAATGTAATTCACATAACATAAAATTCACCCTTTTAAAGTTACAATTCAGTGATTTTAGTATATTCATAGAGTTGTATAAAACTTTCATTACCCCAAAAAGAAACCTCATACTCACTGGCAGTCACTCCCAATTCCCCCTTTACCTCCAGCCCCTGACAACCACTAATGTACTTTCTGTCTCTATCTATTTGCCTATTCTGGATATTACATTTAAATTAAAATACAATGTGTGGCTTTTTGTGTCTGGCTTCTCTTAGCATAATATTTCAAGGTTCATTTATCCATGTCGTACCATGTATCAGAACTTTATTCTCTTTTATGTTCAAATAATATTCCATTGTATGGATATACCATATTTTGTTTATTCATTCATCAGTTCATAGACATTTGAATAAATTCTACTTCCTGACTACTATGAATAATACTATGAACATTCATGTTCAAATTTTTGTATGTTTCAATTCTCTTGGGCACCCTTGGAAATTATATGGTAACTCTCTTTAACATTTTGAGGAACTATCAGTTTTCCAAGGTGCCTGTACTATTTTACAATACCATCAACAATAGATGAAGGTCCCAATTTTTCTGTATCGGTACCATCACTTGTTATTGTCTGTTTTTCTGTTTGTTTTTTTTTTTAGCTGAGCCATCCTGCCACCTGTTGGCAGCTGAGCGGCAGCTCAGCTCAGGCCGTGAATCGAACCAGCAACCCTGTTGCTCAGAGCTCGCACTCTTGAGCGAGCTCTTAACCAACTGAGCCACTCGGCCAGCCCTTGTCTGTCTTTTTTAGTCATCTTAGTGCTTGTGAAGTGGCATCTCGTGGTTTTGATTTGCATTCCCCTAATGAGATGATGTTGAACATCTTTTCATGTGTTTATCAGCTATTTGTATTATCTTCTTTGGAGAAATATCCATTCAGGTCCTTTGCCCGTTTTTAAATTGGGTTATTTGTCTTTTTATTATTGACTTTATTGTAAGAGTTCTTTGTATATTCTGGATACAAGTCCCTTCTCATATACATGACTTGCAAATATTTTCTCCCATTCTGTGGATTGCCTTTTCACTTAATGGTGTGCTTTGAACACAAATGTTTTTTCAATTTTGATGAAGTCCAATTTTCCTATTTGGTTTCTTTTCTCACATATGCTTTTGGTGTCGTATCTAAGAGACCATTGCCTAATCCAAGGTCGTGAGATTTATTCCTGTTTTCTTCTAAGAGTTTTATAGTTTTATCTCTTACATTTATGTCTATGATCCATATTGAGTACATTTTTGTATACAGTGTGAGGTGAGGGTCCAACTTCATTCTTTTGCAGGTGTTTACCCAATTGTCCCAGCACCATTTGTTAATAGGACAATTCTTTCCACATTAAATGATCTTGGCATCCCTATGGAAAATCAATTGATCATAAATGTGAGGGATTGTTTCTGAACTCTCAGTTCTGTTCCATTGATCTGTATGTCTATCCTTATGCCAGTACCACATTATCTTCCCCCACCCCAGCTTTATTGAGATATAACTGACATATAACATTGTATAAGTTTAAGGTGCACATTGTGTTGATTTGATACACTTGTACGTTGCTAAATGATTACCACCATAGCCTTAGCTGACACCTCCATCATGTCACATAATTGCCATTTCTTTTTTTCTTTTTTCTTTTT